TTTCCCTCCAAAATCAACGAGTAGGTAGCTCATGCAACAAAGGGTTAAATTCGTACGTTGTCCAGTAATCGGTCGATTCGTCCTGATTTCCTCTTGTTGCGGATGCCCTGCGGAGCGAGCTTCTAACGAGCAATTTCAGCCGCAAAGAAAGCTAGCTGCGGCACTCGAGGGTGGCCCTTCGCCGCTTTTATCGGGCACCATGTCGCGTCACCCTCCCCCTCCCCCCCCCCCCCGGCGCACGTCGTCGTGTCGGTGCCTTTCTCGCAGCGAGTGTTTGTGCTAATCGTGCGGTCGCCGGAGCTCGGGGGCGGGAGGAGCCACTTTGAGCTTTTATCACGTCGAGTGTCGGATGGAGTCCCGACCGTCGTGTCGTGTGCCAGCGGCGAGACAGACACTTCGATAATCTCATTTCCACCGCGAGAGGGGTTTCGGGTCCTCTTTCATCCTCGCCCAAACAAATCTTGGCTCCGGATAAAAAGCGACAACAGCCACTTAAGTTCCCGGATGAATGTTGCAAAATTTCACGATGACGTCATAGTGATAGCCTCAACAGACTGATTTTAGAGTCCCTTCGCACTGAGAGTCAAGACAATGTGAATCCATTTCTGATTGGTTACCGTAATAGGCCTCCACAGTGTCACAAATGGGAATAAAGATTAAATTTTCACCAATTGCAAAGATTATAATCTGGAATGGACCGAGGAATTACGGGTTCGACAAGGAACAAACTGAATGAGAGAGGGAACGGAGACTGGAATTTGAAAATGGGCCGATCAAAGATTACGAAAGACGTTCAATTTTTGTAATCTTTATTCCCGTTTGTGACTCCATGAGGGGCCGTTGTCTTGACTCTCATTGTAAAGGGACCCTAGACTGATTCAGTGGCTACGTCATTTGATATAAGTTCGATTCAAGCAGAAGTGGTATCAACGCATACTCTCTGAAAAATTCGCTCCCAAATCCCAATTTTTAAGCATCAAAAAGTCAGTTTGAACTTTCTTTCCACCATAAGGATCTATGTAATTTCGAGACTTCAAACACGTATTTCTCGAAATAGCAAAAACTGCACTTATGCGCTTTGTTCTCCAAGCCCCTTAATTCTAGAGGCAGGTTGAAATCAAAAAGCGCTCTTAATTGTGTGCTAACTTTAAAACCACAAGAAGCAGGTGCATATTGTCTGATTCATCGCAGATTGTTCGGCATGGAAAACTAAAAATAATAATTTTGGATGCTATTTATCTCCGCGCTTTTGAACAGTCAGCCAGAGAAGTCAAAAGCAGGCTTCTTTCACCCCGCGTAGCATTGATCAAGGGAAAAATCGAAAAAAAAAATATTTTTAAATTAAGCTGCGATTTTTCTCCGATTTTTCGGCGATGGAATCGCGCTAAGATCATCAGCATCTGAACGATTATCCTCAATTTTGTCGCAATTTCATCTCTATAATATCGCATTCGATGAAATCGAATTTTATCTCAATTTTTCACGATTTTGATTCGACAACATTGCGCTATATCGCCGTCGATAAAATCGCGATTTTATTGCAAATTTATGCGATGAAATCGCACTTTTTCTTACGATAATATATTGCAATAAATCGACGTCGATAAAATTGCAATACACTCTCCGATCAAATCGCAATTTATCGCGATCACTGCTACTTGGGAGCTAGAAGACACACTGTGTCTACTTCCGCTTCTACCGGTACACAGTGGACCTAGTCAATAAAAGAAATCGGACAAAATCTTGAAACTTTGAAATTTTATATTTTCGATAATCAAAATTTGAAATTTTAGCCAACAATTTCGTGGCCTGCCTCTTCTAATAGCTTGTTCCACAGTGCGGTGTCCACCGGGAAATAATAATGGAGGAAGCATCAGCGTTGGTCGGAAACTAAGGAGCCGAAGTTGGGCGAACGTTAGGAATTCCAGACGTTTACTCGGCTTTGTCCCTTCGCCCGATGCATGATTAATGAAGGTATCAAGCCCGCGCCAGGGAAATTAGGTGAAGCGAAATTCGAGAAAACTTACACCCGGGATTTGATTTATTTCCACCCGCCGGCCGCCACGCCACACCGCCGCGCGTGCACCCCTCCTGCATCCAGTATTTATGATCCAAGAGCGACACTTCGCAGGAGAGGAGCGGAGCGGGTACAGATGCGACCTTTATTCGCAGCGTTGTCTGCCTTTCATTTTATCTCAGCTTTTTGCACCCAAGTGCACAGCGCTGGACAAGGTAAAGACACAGTGAGAAACCACAAAACCTGCACTTGCAAATACATAAGCAATACGAATGTCCCTCGGTTATTCGGCGATTTAGGGCAGAGGTTCATGCTGGATGGGGAAAACGCTAAGGCCTTGTCTCCACGGGACGTTTTCATGGGATTTTTCCCAAGTTCGAATCGCAGGAATGAAACTTCTGAGATTTTTCCCAGTTACTGTCTCCATGGAACAAGGCTCATACGGTCCTGCGACTAGTTTGCGCGGGAAGATAACTTAGTTAAAGTTGCGAGTATTTAACGGTATTAAAATAATAAGTGCCCTCGACAATTAGACACAGTATTTTAACTAATTAAACATGAACAATGGAGTAATCAACAAAACATCGCACAATTCGTTTACACTTCCTCTTCTTCTCTCAGTGGGTCCTAAGGGTAAAAGGACCATACTTGGTACTGGGAAAAATATTAACTCAGTATTTTTCCCAACTTCGTAAATGGGATTTTTCCCTGGGACAAATCTCGTGAAACGGCCCGTGGAGACAAGGCCTAAATAGATCGAAAATACGAATCGAAATGCCGTCGTAAAAACAATACAAAAATATACATACATACATACATACATTTTTTCCGTCACAAAAATATACATGTAAAACGCGACCGTTGTTTCGTCTCGTGAGTTACGACCCGAGCAGCTTAGGCGTGGGATAGCTAAAGCGCCGCACGTAACCGCGAACCGGATGTGCGAGAATTACTGTACGTCAAAAAAATAAAAAATGAGGGGTCAACTCCCTACCACCCCCCCCCCCCCATTGGCTAGCGCCAATCCTCTCTACGCGTCATACGCAAGGAGTAAATCGATGGCCAAGGTGTGGAACCACGTACTCCCATTGTAATGTTTTCAAAATCTCCGCTACTGTTTCATTTTTTCAAAAAGAAACGAGTCAACTATATAGCTTGAAATCCATACAGAATATTCCGCTGACAGAGAAGAAAAATCAAGGTTTTCATGAAATTATGTCGATTAGGTTTTCCAAGGGAAAATTAGAGTATGACAGGAAGTCTGCAACGTCGCAAACGGAGATACATGGTTTCGCACTTTGGCCATCGAAATGTATTTTACCAAGTGCGGTATCTCCTTGACGAATCGTGTCCCTCCTCCCGCCCAAAATTTCAAAATCATGATATAGTCCAACCGATTCCGAATAAATATATACATTCGACCGATGCTGTTAAACCTATAATTTTTGTTTCAATAAATTTGAACATAGAGAGCACTGTTAGGATTGCTTGAAGGATTCATAACTTCGAAACTGGTGAAAGAACTATTAATTTCATTCATAGACCTGCACCTGTTAGAGCCATTGACCTTTTTTATTTTTATTTATTTATTTATTTTTATGTAGGGTGTTTATTATCTTTAGTTTAAACCTCGCCATCGATAAACTCACAATCAGGAAGGAGCCGTGAAGATGGACGCAAAGTTGGGTTCATCTTTTGATACAACTATTTGAACTCTCGCGTAGCGCACGGTGGTATCTCGCTAAATTGAAGGCAGTTTGTTTTCCGTTGACTCGGCTTCTCATTATGCTCTTACTCCTCCACCTTTTAACTCCTCTTTTCGCCCTCCCCTGTTTCTTAGGCATATTTATCTTAGCACTATTTGCGACTTGTCTCTCCTTAAATATGCCGACCAACTTATTTCTCGATATATCTCCCTTTCCTTCCATCGAACGCCGTTGAGAAAAAAATAAACCAATGAATCTTTTCATCTCCAAGTGGAGATTTTTTTTGTCATTTTTCTGGTACATACTTTATAGCGATGGCGAAAGTGAGAAACCACGTGCCTCCATTGCGGGGTTTCAGAATTTCCGCTCGTGTTTTATGAAAAGAAACAAACCAACCTTATTGCTTGTTTTTAAAGAATATTCTACTATCAGAGAGGGAAAATCAAGGAAGCTTTTAAGGAATTACTTAGTTTTGCTACGAAAAAATGAAGCATGGCAGAAATTCTGCAACGTCGCAAACGGAGATACGTAGTTTCGCTTTTTGGCCATCGATATTGTTACTGATGAGGCATGTGGATCCAGGTACGAAATATAGACGATTCAAGCTGCGGACACGAGTGCATTTTAATACCTTGAAATGTTACCAAGACACTCGAGACAGCACCAGCTAACACATCACACATCGACGACCAAAGTGCGAAACCACGTATTGTATCTCATTCGCGGTGTTTCAATACCTCTGCCCTCAGTGGCGTGGCGTGCTTTGCGATGTATCGATTGATCTAGCTGTCATTTAAACTTATGGAAAAGGATCGATTAACAGGGTGTTCGCAACGAACACCTTAATAATCGATTCTTCACCATATTTTCAAATGGGGAAATATCGATACTAGACCATTCACGCCTCACCACTGTCTGCCCCGGTTTTACATTTTTGAGGAGGGACAAGCCAACTCTATAGCCTGAAATTTTCACAGAATAAACCTCCAACACAGAGGAAAAATCAAGGAAGTTTTCAAGAAATTACGTTGATATTGCTTCAAGGAATGATGTCAATTTGTTCTCCTTTTAAAAAAAATTAAGAGGCGGAGATTTTCAAACACCACAAACGAGGAAGGTACGTATGGTTGTGGACTTAGGTACGCCGTCGATATGCATGTAGGAACCTCTATGTTTATGTGCACTTATTTAGTTTTTGATAAGTTAAGATTCCGGGTAGGGGGGAGCGGTAACTGTTAGCCGATTGGTGTTTCAACTGAGTTGTTATTATTTTTCAGTCGAATGAGGTTCTGTACCCGGACGACGGGGACAAGTTCATCGCACTGCTCCAGTACTCGGGTCAGCTCCGAGCCACGGGAGGAGGAGGCGGAGGAATTGGGACGAGCGGGAGCTCCAGCACGAGCGGAGCCGCGAAATTCGGGGCCGCCTACCCCCTCAGGACTCACCCCTTGCCCACCGCAGAGAACCTCACCGCAACCGACGCCCTTTGGCTTCCGGTCGCCGCCACCACGTAAGTGTTCCTCCCGCTCCCCCCGCATCCGTCCGATCCCGTATCTTTAAAATAAAAAACAAGCGGGAAAGTTCTAATACTGTCGTATTAGAAAAGCGCTCAGGTGTTAGTAAATGTATTTAGTGGAGAAAGGAAGTATAAGCTCCGTCGACGTGGCTGGGAAATGGAAATAAAACATCAGCTGATAGCAAACAAAGGTTACCAAGGAAATCGTAAACGCGTATTTTCGTTTCCTGAAAATGAGCTCACCGTTGAGCTCATCAGGCGCGTTTTTTTTAGGCTTCATTTGAGTTCAACGATCGATTTCGATAAGAATTACTCTACCGCTAAGAAATTTTCTTACAGACAAACGATCGAAACTACCTGCGCATTACGTTAAAAGCATAAAATACAGTTTTCACAGCTTTATTTACTTTAAAAATGGACCCCCCCCCCAAAAAGCCTACACATCGATGAGCTGGTGCGCCATTTAAACGCATTAGCACTAGTATACTAGTACTCAGAGGCGAGTCGAAATCAAAAAGCGCTGCCTATCGGCTGAGCGCTTAACAGAATGGATCGATGGACATGGACAAGGTGCGAATTTAAGCAATGGAAAATCTGCCTGCCCAGGCAGACATAAGAAACACTGGAAAAAAAACCACATTGGATCTAGAGTCCAGACTCTTGAAAACATTGTCAAGGAAAAGGACTCTTGATTCAATCAGATTTAAGCTTAAATCAAAAGGAAATCCCCTCAAATTAAGAGGCTTGGTTCTTGATTTAAGCTTAAATCTGATTGAATCGAGCGTATTTTTTCTTGTCGATGTTTTTAAGAGTCTGGATTCTAGATCCAATGTGGGTTTTTTTCCCAGTGAACAAACAAACAAACAAACAAACAAACAAACAAACAAACAAACAAACAAACAAAAAAGAAAAGCTGGAAATGAGATATTTCGTGGAAATTTCACTACTCTCAGCCAATTAGTACTCATATGAATCAAAAATCTATCACAAAAACCCGCTCCCTCAGATTACTCGATTGACTTTTGAGGCTATGTTTATGTTTTGAACCGATCGACTTCGATACAATCTCACCCGTTCGATGTATCGAACACACTCTATATGACATACACTCAAGGTAGCGTCAAGGTAATGAATTGCAATTGAGGGGCTTGGAGGATAAATTGCATGAGTGCAGTTTTTGCTACTTCGAGAAATACGTGTTTGAAATTTCGAAATTACGTGGGTCCTTACGGTGGAAAGTTTTCTATTTTTTTAAACTTTTATTAAGAACACAACTACAGCGTATTAAGAGTTTTTACATTGAGGTGATTCGTCAAGCTCAAAAGAAGTGGTCGAACTGGCATGCGATACATCACATCTTTTAGGTAAAGTATCTCGGCAAATTTTGAATTTTCAGCAAAAAAAAGGACGATAGCCCCTACGCATGAGCCTAAAGAATCATTCTAAACCCAAAAATTGGCAAAATTCAGAGAAATGAAAGCAGGATAGTGTTTGGAAAAAAACCTCGCATTCGATTCAGCTATCGATTTTTGTATCGAATGCGAGGTTTTTCTCCAAACACTATCCTACTTTCATTTCTCTGAATTTTGCCGATTTTTGGGTTTAGAATGATTCTTTAGGCTCATGCGCAGGGGCTATCGTCCTTTTTTTTGCTGAAAATTCAAAATTTGCCGAGATTTTTGACCTAAAAGATGCGATATATCGCATGCCAGTTTGACCACGTCACTTGAGCTTGACGAATCACCTCAATAATTGATTCTGTACCATAGTTTCAAATGGGTAAATATCGATGATCGATCATTCACGCTTGGCCACTGCTATTGATAGCCGCAAAAATCATGAAAATCGGCCCGCTAGCTGATCTTAAGTACAAACCGTGACAAAAAATACAAACTGAAATTGTTTCGATGGGATTTACAACCCTCCGTAATTACTCCGTAATATAGGTACAGAAACTGGCGAAAACTTTTCAAAATCTGAGGTGAGCGAACTCATCATAGGACTATCACCTACTGATAGCCGTAAAAATTATGGGAATTAGCCCAGTGGAATGAACTGTGACGAAAAATGCAATGGTTCAATGACATTTCGACACCGATTTTTTGTCCGCACACCTGTTTCTTCTAGTAGTTTATGTCCACGCATTTTTTTCGGCGGGGGAGTTCGTGCCGTTGTGCCTTGATTTATTTTGCGTGGAAAGCTCCGTACTCTTGGAGGATGCCTATCATTCTTAAAATGTTGGAGCGCCTTCAATTTCGTTTGATACTGTGCAATACCTCTGGTGAGAAATAGTTGCTTCAAGCGCCGTGGTACGCTGCGGCGGCGCGGCGTGGCGGGCGGCGCCTTGATACAACTATACAATCTCGACGGATGTCCGTATTGCGTTCAAAAAATTGAAGGCGTTTCGAATCCCTGCTCATACTACCTGTAGTTGATTCGATCGACAGACGCGTTGGTCGGCGGTGACGGGGACTTGATGCAACAATTTAAACTTGATGGATGTCCGTATTCTACCGACTGAAAGGCGAAACCACGTATCTCCATTGCTGCGTTTCAAAATTTCCGTTCTTTTTTCATCTCTTCCATGAGAAACAATCCTAATTTACGACTTTAAATTTTCAACCAAATCTTCTGCTATCGAATACGAAAAAGCATGGAGAATTTAAGTTTCATGTTGACCAGCTTCTCGAAATAAAAATAAAATTTTTAAGGAAGTCTGCAACGTCGCAAACGGAGAAACGGCGTCCCTCATTTTGCCCAAAAATATGTATGTATAAAATTGAAAGCATTATGACTTCCCTCTCTCAACTTAATTTCGTCTGTAACGATAAACAATGGGACGCGTTTGCTACGGCGCCTTGATACAACTATACAACCTCGACGGATGTCCGTATTGCGTTCAAAAAATTGAAGGCGTTTTGAATATCTGCTCATACCACCTGTAGTTGATTCGATCGACAGACGCGTTGGTCGGCGGTGACGGGGACTTGATGCAACTATTTAAACTTGATGGATGTCCGTATTCCACCGACTGAAGTCCGAAATCACGTATCTCCATTGCGGCGTTTCAAAATTTCCGTTCTTTTTTCATCTCTTCCATGAGAAACAATCCAAATTTACGACTTTAAATTTTCAACCAAATCTTCTGCCATCAAATACGAAAAATTATGGAGAATTTAAGTTTCATGTTGACCAAGCTCTCGAAATAAAAATAAAATTTCTAAGGAAGTCTGCAACGTCGCAAATGGAGAAACGCCGTCGCTTATTTTGCCCAAAAATATGTATGTATTAAATTGAAAGCGGGCGGCTGGCCAACTCCCAACGCGCATTGACGCCTACAAACCTAAGGGGATACTTCAAGCATTGCGCTATGCGTGAAGTGTTCCCTTAGGTTTGAAGGCGTCAATGCGCGTTTCGTGCCGGTAGCACGCCGCTCCGCTCTGTGTTCGGCTCTAATAATTAAAATCGCGGAGTCAGCGTTTTTAAGCTCATGATTTTGAAATTTTTGCACATTCTCCATGGATTTCCCTCATTTAAATTGATGAAAAAAAATATATTAATGGAAAATATAAAATAAGTTTTGTAAATATTAAGGTGGTTCAGTGTCAAATTTAATGATCCCCAAAGCACTTTAATTATTTCTTTATATCTTTTGGTTTTTGCCCCTTTTATATTCATTTTTGCATAGTTTCTTTCAACACATCTCTTATTTTACGCGTGGACGTAAACTACTAGTTAAAACAGGCACGCGGACAAAAAATCGTCGACGGAATGTCCTGAAACCAATGCAAGGAATCAAGGAGTTCATAATAATGATGTCTGAAAATGTATTACTTATCTTTTCAGTTTTAAATTCTTCGTCTATTCGGCTTATTTGGATCAGCGAGGCAACAAACTTATTCGCGTAATTGCTGCAACTAAGACAAGGAACCCTGAAAGAGTGTGGTGTAGACTATGGTCTCCTTCGGGGAATGATTCCCAAATCGTCAATGGAAAAGTAAAGGTATGAATTTCAGTCCCTTTGGCTGCATATTTTTACTTTTTTTAAATCATCATCGTTGTTGCATTATCTAAATCAAGGTATCCAGTTGCTTTGGAAGTGCCGAAGTTAAATCTAAAGGTGACCAACAGGGCTGTATAGAAAAGCGGGGGGTGGCAACTGAGGGAATGCAGTTCTTTGCAGCAAATTATGGAAAAGTCTACGTACATGGAAAATCTGAGAAGTCTTAAAGCAAAGTAATTTACATAATCCCATGGATTAGATTTCAAAGAGCGAGCGAAAATGAAGGTTTAAATAATTGACAATTCTAATACGAAAGATAAACTATTGATTTTTACCGCTTTCCGAAAATGTTATTTTTGGGTCTTAAAAATATGAAGAGAAAGTCATTAAGAACTTTAAAGTACAAGACAAGTTTGCATAGAATTTTTTGCTCTTTTTCCCCATCATTATTCTCACTCTAAACAATAAAAATATGCAAAAAAAAAAAAAAAAAAAAAAAAAAAAAAAAAAAAAAAAAAAAGTATTGAGTGATTAAAAATGAAAAAAAATCTTGGTCAAGCCATTCATTGTTGTTTTCTTCCATACATATATTGAAAGCCTTAACATCAAAGAGCTCGATAAAAAAAAAAAAAAAAGAAAGGAAAAAAAAATCAATTATGCATTGAGAGTATATGAACCATTATGTACCTTACTTCATCGGAGTTATTTTTGTCCAGGTAATTAGAGAAAATTGGAACCTGAAGTATAGTGCAGTATTCATACTGTGCTCTGTGCCTCACAACCTGACATTTGGATTATGGTCGGTGTCGGTTATTCATCAGTTACATGCACCCATCACAAATCTACTGCTGATAAGGAATCTAGATGTTCCTTCCCCGGCTTTCTCTCTCGGCCCTTTTCTCAACACTAGCTCTAACACCAACACCCTGGCTGTTTGCGTCAAACCTCTTCACTTTCACTATAACAGGGTAAGATGACGAAATCAATAAAAATGACGTAAGGATAAACAGAGCATGCTTAAATTTTATAAAAAAACTACATTTTATCTAATGTTTGGGTCTTTGAACTTTCAAGTAAAAACAAGAAAGGAAATGATAAATAGGTTCTTTCAAAGCAGTACCTATACGATCGAAATTATACCATGGTACCGCACTTGATGGTAATATTACAAAATGATGTATCTTAATTCGCAACGTTGCATATTTCTTGTCGCAATGCTTTTTTTTTTTTTTTTTTTTTTTTTTTTTTTTTTTTAGGGTTGTCTATTAATACCCCTCTTAGAATCCTCTGAGCATTTTGCACGAAAAATCTGTCAAAAGTCTCGTTGGAAAATTATTTTGTGATCGACATTTTGAGACTTCACATTCCAGCTACGTGCTTTTTAAGTTTAGCCTTTGGTTCAGTTGCCAAAATAAGAATTTTTGGGTAGGTAATTTGGCACGACTCCATTTTTATATTGGTTGAGATCTATATACCGACACGATTGAAAAATTCAGCAAAATTTAGATTTCTCGCAGTTTCAATGAAAAATAATGATAAGAATTCGAGGTATTGTAAAAAGGAATTCAGTGCCATTGATTGAGAACTAAGAATAACAGGTTTGAGGTTTCTCTGGTGCTCCAGCATGCCCTTATATAAGCTCAAAATTACCTGAATCATTTTTTTTTCTGTATCATTTCTTTTAAATATCAGCTGGCTTTTACTGTCAAATGCTGCCCGATTGACTTAAAAATGCCTTACTCATTGATATATACCTAATTTTCATCTTGTTTGATCAGTTTCTGTCTTTGTCTGTGCAGGTGAACCAGCTAATTGAATTTATCGAACTAAATCTGCTTCTGGGAGCGTCACATATGATTCTGTACAATGCATCAATTGGGCCTGATGCAACTTGTGTCCTGAAACAATACGTTAATGAGGGCCTCGTTACGATTCTCCCATGGAAGCTGGACATGATTTCGCAGAAAGAGATTCGCACTGTGGGCCTCTTTGCAGCACTTAATGACTGTCTTTATCGTTGTATGCATCGCTACTCATATGCTGCATTCATCGACCTGGATGAGTTCATCATTCCTCAGCAGCAGAAAACACTACCTGAATTGATAGGGTAAGGCAATTCATTTGAAAGGTAACCTGTAGGCCGTAGTCCAGTCAAACTAGCTCTAAAAAATTAAGGGCAATCTAGGGAAAATCAATGTAAGAGTAGAAGGTTTCTTTCCGGAGACAGAACAACTCATCAAAAGTTTACCGGAATCGGCTGTCCGCTAGCTGCTAAGGCCGCCTTGCTGCATGTTTGGCGCAATGCGTGAAGTATTCATCCAGTCTTGTAGGCGCTATTATGCTTTCGGCGCCGACCGCACTGTGTTTGGCGCGATGCGTGAAGTATTCCTGCAGTCTTGTAGGCGCTAATATGTTATTCGTGCCGACCGACGAGCGCGGCGGCCACACAATATTTGATGGGATTTGGAACGAAGATACAGCATTAGATTTGAAAAAAACTGTAGAAACAGAGGAAAGATAGCCCGTCTTTTCTCAAGATGGTGGCCTTACTGAACAGGCGATTCCGGTAAACTTTTGATGCGTTGTTCTGGTGGCCGAATGCAACATGTCTCCGCACAGAAACCTTTTATATATTGATTTTCCCAGGAAAATGCTAGATTGATGGGACTACCAGTTCTTCAGAGGAGTAAATTTTTAAAACAGTGGCACAAAATAGATTCCTCTTATAATTTTTTCCTGTCGCTAAGATTAGGGAAAAATTTCCAAAAATTTCAAAAGGTGACACAATGGACAAGATTTTGTTGGTTCTTTGATTAATTTTATTTAACAAATATAGTTGATTTTTGTTGATATATGCATCGATATTCAGATCACCTTTAATGGAGTAGATTGTTGTCCTACAGAAGCCACCATCATCTTAAATTACAATTACCTATCACGCAATTTCAATGTATTTGAAAAAATTAGTCACAGTTAGCGTGACCTTATGACTTCGGCCGTTGCATACTTAGCAGTTCATCCCCCAAGAGGTCCTTTTACGGCTCTTCTTATAGGTACACCACACGGAGTTTGACGCACTCACAAGAAAAAAAAAAAAAAAACATTTGAAGAGCTTTTCAGCGATGTTTCGTACTTCAGGTACAGACGAACTAATGCTTTCAACCATTATTATGATCCCCACTGGTAACCGCATTGATAAGATTATGTCAATGAGGTTCAAAACTTTAAAGTTCCTTCGTTAACTCTACTATCTTTTTGACAGATGGCTTGGACAAAAACTGAATCTGCGAACAACAGCCTCCTACTCTTTCCAGAATGCATTTTTCTACCTCCAGTGGTCGGATGACAACACAATTGACCGTAAATATGCTCCAATAATCAACAACTTCGTGACACTCCGCAAGACACGCAGAAAAACGAAGCTTAACCCACACAAGCAGCGCTCTAAGTATATTTGTAGACCAGAATTTGTAGTTGAGGCAGGCAACCACTTCATCTGGGAGTTCATCCCTGGGCATGGTACATTGAATGTCCCCTCCGATGTTGGACTGCTCCATCATTATCGGGTCTGCGAGTTCGGTGGCAATGACTGTGTCAAATCCAAGTCTGTTATTGACCAGATAGCATACCGATATGCAACTCAGCTGGTGGTTAATTTTCATGAGAGGTACACAAGCTTCCCATGCGCGTTGCCCAAGTTGCCTTTCACCTTGACACTGTCACCGGGGGCATCATACTACAATCTTACTGACATCAGCGAGATGAGCAGAGGCATTTTGAGCAACATTACACGGAGGGTTTCGATGAAAATGAAGAATTACTTGTTCTTGAACAAGAGGCCCGTCAGAACATTGTAAACTTGATCCGCACAGATCTGTTCGGCACGACATAAAAAAAGTGATGGCTAATCTCATATTCAAGAAAGCTTTGGAGGGGTGCAAAATCTGACTTAATTTACAATCGTTACGGTCAGGGAAACAGAAGAAAAAATGCCATCATTTCATACAGATATTTCCTTGGATATGTTGAAAAAAATTCACTATATTGAGGCATGTTCGTTGGGCTTTACAGAATAAATCTTAACTTAACATAAATGGTACGTTCGAAAGGGCTAAGAGATTTTTGTCAAACTCTAAAAAACCTTCTTCTCTTTTCTAGAAATAAAAAACGAATATTACCTCACCAGAACTATTCGGTTCAGATTTGTGACAAATTTGGACTTTTTAGCCTTTGTCGTATTAAACAAGGTATATGAAAAATTCGGCTTCTGAGTACTTAGTATCATCTACTTAGTTCAAGTCGAACTTAATATCTGCCGACAAAAAAAAAAAAAAAAAAAAAAAAAAAAAAAAAAAAAAATAGTAAGGCTCGAGATACACAATCTGTATTGAAGTTGATATGTAACACGTTCGTACGTTCTACGTTGGGAGAAAATGTTTCTATTCCAAAATAAATTTTTTTTCTCTTCAGCCTTAAAGGCCTTAAGGGCGAGAGTCATCCGAGGGATTGATCACTCTTGCACTAAGGCTAGAAAGATTCAGCTTGCCAGATAAGAATGAAAGCCCTCTTAGGTGTGAATGGTAATTCGTTGGCTAGTTTTTATTTTCATCTACTTCAGGGAAAGTTTCTGAAAACTGCTTTTCTATTTAAGTATCTACGCCATTCACTATCGGAAAAGCTTTGGATTCAACTCTGAAGGTTGAATTTTTGATGTGATACTTTTATTAATTTAAATATTTAGAGTTATTTGTTTCCTTCTTTTAATTTATTTAATTTTCTAATCCTTGTTTCATGTTCTTTTTGATTAATTTTTCTAACTTTTTAAGCAGGGCATATTTGCAGAGACAGGTATTGATTGTACCTTAGTTTATGTTTAGGCCATTACCATTGCAGACCTAATACTTAAAATTTCTTTTCAGCAATTTGATGAATTTTGGTCGTTTCTTAATTATAAGATTTTGAAAACTCACTTCTTGTTAAAGCATGCTCATATTAAAAATAATAATATTAAGATTTTGATTGAAAACAGTGGCGGGTGGAAAGTATTTAAGATAGAAAATTGATGATAATTTCAAAAGTTCCGTTTCCAGTTTATGGCCTGAGAAAGATCTATTGCCTCACACTGATTAAAGAGGAATTGGCGTTGTTTTGATCATTTAAATTAAGTCTTAGATCCTCTTGGATTGATTGAGCTGCTTAAAAAATGAAGAAAAAAAGAAAGAAAATTAAAGGTTCTCTTCATCGTATGAGACCTTCAAAATACTTTAACCCACAGAATATCGTGGATTTCTATGTTTACCATAAAAATTAGGAAATAATGCTAAAGTCTACTGCATGTGACAGTCAAAAGTGAATGACTGTGAACTAATCTAACGCGAGTTTTATAAATTTTTAAGGAGGGTTAAGTTTGCGCAGCAAGTAGCTGTATCAAACAATACAAAATTTGTACATATGATGCAAAGTATCGAAAGCAATTACAGCACTTGCGTCTTAGAGGGCCACTCTTCTTCAGTTTAGTGGACTGATTGTTGAAACTTATGACAGCACAACAAGACATTGAAAATCTATATCTAACATGGTGAAGTGAGGGTTTCATCTTGCCGTGCTGACATATTTTCACAATTGACCCACTGATGATCAGCATGGTCATGTTTTACTCGAATTTGATCTCTCTATAATCCAGTATTTCTAGTTGTAGAAAATATTTTCTCAATGAATTTCACTATTTTTGTACATTTTTAACGTGATATTTAATGTTAAACTCTCATTTTATGAAACTTTATTTTATAAAACTACTAAGTATTAGGAATTATTATGCATGTATTATGTGAATCCTACGCACGCATGGAGGTGATACCTATGTTTAAGTTACTGCGGGTGATACCCTATTTTTTGATAAAAAAACCGAAAGAACAGCCAAATTAGTTATTCGTCATATTATTGCGAGTAAAGAGTTTTGCATTTAAAATTGATTGAGCAGTCATTATGCCACACTCGAAAATGCATAACTACTAACTGCTTTTAACAGGGACAGATGAAAAATTCCTCATTTTTTTAATAAGAATAATTTTGTTCGTTCTTACCCACAGAATCTATGCAAGAATACTCATCTGAACAAAAGAGGCTTTATATGCAAAAGTAGCGGATGTTGACATCCACGATTATTGGGGATAACAACTTTTTAAATCCTCAACCCTCCAAGAGTATTTCTACTAAATTTCAGACTCAACTTTCATTTTAATGGGCCTGTTGCAAACTTTTGCTAGAGCAAAAATAAGAGTTGTTTCTTGTAGATAATGCCTCAAAAATCACGATGAGCGCATCGGCAAAGTCTGAAATGCACTCATAACTTCACAATCTGCGTAAGAAATTTGCGTTTTTTTAAGCTTCCCGCTTCAAAAACGATACTACGGCGTAGGTGAACATTTTGTTAGAGGAGTCGCTCCATCGTCGGCGATATTCATCATGGCCGACACTTGCGCGCAGTTTTGCGCGTAATTCGAGGAGAGTTCAAGGTCAATCAATGCGGGCGTGGAAAACATGAACGTTAAAACACGCCGATTGTTGTCTGGTCTAATTCAGTTCAGGTATTATCTCGTCCCATCACACGTGTTTTGGCGGATTGGCGTCGGCCATGATGAGTATTGCCGACGATGGAACGACTCCTCTTACAAAATGTTCACCTGTGCCGTAGTATCGCTTTTGAAGCGGGAAGCTCAAAAAACCGCAAATTTCTTACGCAGACTGTGAAGTTATGAGTGCATTTCAAACTTTGCCGATGCGCTCATCGTGATTTTTGAGGCATTATCTATAAGAAACAACTCTTAGTTTTGCTCTAGCAAAAGTTTGCAACAGGCCCATTATGGCGAGTAGTGAATGAAATTGAGGCAGTGAATGTGATGGCAGTAGAAGTCAAAGGCCCGCTTTGAGGAGGGGAGTCCTTCTGGATGCTCGAGATGCAGAGGTAGACAAAACTGTTGATGATGTCATAAATGGACTTTGGAAAAGTCGATTCTAACCCCTCTTCCTTTCCTCCACAAATCGTTAAAAGAAAGACAATATGAAAAGATGGTAAAAATAATCACTTTCCAGTTTTTGAGCAAAACGAAGACGGATTGTAGACGATTTTGAAAAGTTGAAAACCTTCTTCCAGCCAACACTTTGTCAGAAACTCATGAGTAAATATACAAGGGTGCAGAAAATCACTCATTTCTGAATTCTCTTTGCTCAACAAGCAACTTTGATGTTTCCAAGTAGTGAGGAAAATTTTCCAGGGAGGGTTTAGAGGCTAATGTTACACTTGATTATCGCTCCTTGGAACTTTCTGTACCCCTGAACAAACAAAGTGTTTGGCTAGAAAATCAGTTACTGGTCTATTAAAATAAAATTAGAGCAAGTTCAAAAATGTTATGTTTTTTCATTTGCAAGTGAAATTTTGCCGGTCAGGGATTTCACACTAGAAGGGAATTTATTATGACTGTTTGTTTCCATTTATTCCTATCTTTGTGAGAGGCTTAGAGGCTAAAATATTCAGCCAAATTCCCTGTGCAACCATGTGAATGACTCACAAAGTTTTAAGTTTTTTAAATTATAATATCCCTTGTTGCATCAAAGACAGTCACATGTTAAGGTGAGATGATGGGTTGTTTTTAGTGAGCCCAATCTTAAGTGACTTGTTGCACAAGACATGAGTTGAATGCTTCACATTTGTATTTCTTCTTCTTGATCTTTCAATTGTTAAGAATTTCCAACATTTTTGTGAGCATCCATATCATGTTTGGCTCCTTCATTTGCTTTATCTTCAAATGATTTATTGTTAACCTTGAGGATGAATTTTTAAGACATTTTGTAAATAGATGACTCTTCACTGATGTAACTGATGTGGTTATATTTTGAAAAAATGTCTTCCAGTTTATAAATAAACTATGATTAAAAATTAAAATTGATTTCTTCTTCAAACTAATTTCTGGCCAAATAGTCACAGAGCAAAAAATATAGAGGGAGATAAAAATGTGGATTAGCCGCTCAAGCCTATCATTTATATCAATTTTTCACTCCAATTTTCTACGTCATTTAACTTTACCAACCAACTAAAATATTAAAAAAAATATCACTGGATGTCTTGATTTAACCTTTTAACTCCTGAGTTAGATTTTCACCAGTGCTTCCCCACCCTAGGTTCGAATTGGCAAAAGAAGACAATTTTTAGTTTCTGACCTTCATTTGCCTAATTTTCGACCAAACAGCTTGAAATGTGTGTGCTTTATCTTTAAGTATGTACGAGTGAAGATCAGTCATCAAAAGTTGACTACTAGCACCCATTTTTTTTTTTTTTAAAAATAAAACTGAAATGAAGATTTTTGAGGTTCCAAGACAAGAATACTTTTCCATAAGGGCTCAGCGCAGTATTGCGATCACAAGTATACTCTTCCGTAGGAAGCAAAGGGTTGAGAATGAGTCAAGGGTATGTAATAAGAAGCAATACAAAAATACCTTAGTTGTGTGGATTTTCTTTCTTTTATTGAAAACAGGTCAATTGGTTAACTTATACATTATGGATTTCTCTGAGACGTCTGATGGCTGATCTCACAGACGTAGCGGCAGTTGTGGCATAAACATAAGCTCCACCAGCAACCGTTCTTCGACACCTGTCACATGACCAGATTCCTACACACGATCTTCGCATACTTTGCTGCAAAGAAAAAAAACACAAATCACTTAGAAACGGTAAGTATCGAATAGTGGCATTGTAGTTCATACCAAAAACAGAAAACTAGGCTTGGCTAATTTCCTGGATCTAGGTCGTATTCTTGGGTGCAACAAAAGTTTGAAATGTTGCTGCCCCAGACAGCAATCTGTGCCACTTAGTAAAAAATATTTTGCCAAAATCTGGGTTATTCATACATTTTACTGGTACCAAAAGTCAATTCTAAGATGGAGATTATTAATTTTAAGTTTGACCCTCCGTTATGTACAAAAAAACCTGCCATAACACCAAAACTATGCGTTTGTATAACAAATGGCAAACAACCAGAGTTGAAAATTTGAAATTCTACTCCAGAAAGACATCATTGTTGCAAATGAAAATCAAGTTAATCTGGAAAAATTTGCTGCTATATTTTTTTTTTGGTCCTTGGACCTCCACTTAACTAATTGTTAAGAATCAATATGTTCTGAAAGGATTCACCAGCACATGCATATTAATATTTCTGATGTGGACCCAATTTGAAGGATCAATCTTCATATTGAAACACCTCATTGGGAAAATTAATGTAAAAGTGCAAGAGAGTCCTCGCAGAAAATATTGACAGTTAATTATCTACAAGCAGCCATTCTTAACAGGTGGTTTTTCTGGTATGTAACTGGCATACCAGCTTTTGTTGTATCATTATTTGGTCAGAGGATTTGACTTTGAAAAGTGCGGTCACTCAAAAAGAGCGTAAGCATGCATATCGACGGTGTGAGTCCGCAACTGCGTATCTTGGTTTTGCAATGTCACGAAGTTCCTGTCATACTTTATTCTTTAAACGGAAAACGACTCGGCAGCACTTCCTTAAAACTGCGCTGATTTTTCTTCTCTGTGCAAAGAAAATTTTGCATACTTAAGCTTCAAGGAATGATGCCAATTTATTCACATTTAAAAAATAACATAAAGGTGGAGATTTTCAGACACTGCAAATGAGATATGCGATTGCGAACTTACACCGCAAACATGATGTGTGGTTCTAGGCTTACTTCACCGATATGTCTTTACATCAAAGAGGTCACCGATTGAATATGCTGATGTGACAGCAAGATATATATTAAGAACATTATTTTTAAATTTTAATTTTCCTGATTGACAATGACATTAAAAAAAAAAAAAATCCTTTGGACATCCAGAAACATCTTGCAATTTTCTCAATATAGGTAAATTCACTCTTAAAGGGAATAAAAGTATACACCCTGGATTGTTGCAAGCATGTCTGTGTTTTGTTCGGCTGAAAGTAAAATATAAAAAGAGGAATAAAATTATGTGCGATCGGCATACCTTTCCACAGAAAGAACATGTGTATTTGGAGTGTTGGGTAATTTCAATTTTCTTGACCTGCTTACGTAAACTGGCACCATATCGAGTACCATATTTACCGGTGATTCCGACCTTCTTCGTTCCGCGAGTCTGAAATCAGGCATAAAAACCAAGCTAAGTTTAAGTGCATGCATAGCTACATCAAACAATAAAGAAGAGTGAATCTGCTATCGGATGGAGCTGAATAAAGATATCACATTCATGCGACTAAGATAATTCCTTCCAAAGAATTTACTTGGCATACCATGTTGGTCACTTATTTTGCGTTGACTCTACTAGCTTGGATTGAATCAAAATAAACATAGATGAAACATAGAATTAGCCAAATGCATATTCACGGAGACAAATTGAAGGTGAGGAATTAAAATCAACTCCCACATTAACTTCAACTGAGATAGTGAATAGTAAAGCAGGGACTAGTTGTCATACGAAGCTGTACAACCATCATACCATGTGGTCTGGCTTTCGTTGTCTAGGGTAGAATTTGCTGGGGACTGAAAATGCTTTTTCCCGTTGTTAAAAGAGGGAAGTGTGGCAACAAAATGCTGCATTTTCTTTCGTCTGAGTTCTATAGACTAATTCTGAGCTTCCTCCGTCGAAAACAACACAGGCCTATGCGAGTTCAGAATGCGATTGCTAGGTGAGGGTAAGGCACAGAATGCTCAAAAATGAACCTGTTATAATTTTTAGCGCGTAATGACGCATAATAATTCTTTGGAAAGAAAAGATGACACTTACCATGTTTAGAACTAGGTAGTTCTTGGTTGTCTACGTAAACGCACACGTTTTCTCGTGAAAAATAAAGTAAAGATGGTATCCCTAACCTCCAAACTTCAACTGCCTGTCAACGTTGATAAACACCGATCAACTGCCAACAGGCGACACCGATTGGACACCGTATTCTAGCGTATGTATGCCGCGAGTTTTTGAAAGAGATCAAGCTTTTAGAAGTCAAGCGCTACTAGTGCTACTACGTAATAGGAAGTTTTTTTTCTGGTAAAATAATCTATTGTAAAGGGAAATGATCTTTCTGGTGATCAAAAACTATCGAAGAGGCTGTTTGCCTGCAAAGCAGAAGTACATAATATATGTATGAATAGTACATAACACAGCGAGTCCCGATTTTAGACCTCACACTTACTAGACTTGTTCTACTTAGTTCAGAGAAAGTATGATGTTCTTTTCAAATCTGTGTATGATTATTGATGAGTGAATACTGTGAAATTTGTGCCATTGGTAGAAATGACGAAACAAAATTTTATGGTAATTATTCTATACATCGGTCTGGATGAAAATAATGAAGTGTACGTAAGTATTAGAGGTGTATATCAGCACTTCTTGCCAACTGATTCTTTTTTCTCTCAATTGTTCTTGTTTCTCTCAATGGGCCAGTCATGCGAGGACAAACATCTGAAATAGCATAGTGCACCAAAACCTTTTTTTTTTTAAAAAAAAAAAAAAAAAAAAAAAAAAAAAAAAATATCAGTAGGTACATTACTGCATCTTTCACACACTTTTCCTCCAATAACTACTTTTAGTGTATTTTCCGAAGGAAATATTTGCTCTTTGAATTAGTATGAGTTTTTTAACTGTGACAATGAAATTTATTTCACTTAGGTACCCTGGACAAGAAAGTTTACAAAATAAACTTTGATGTACACAATCATGAATTACCATGGGTGGTGCTGTTTTGCATGTTGTTATTTTGAGGATTTCCAGAGGTAAAACAAGTATAAGAGAACTATTAACATCAAAAGCCCTTAGCTTCTTTAGGTACCTTCTTTAGGTACTTAAGTTTGATATTTTACACGTTGAGTTGATAATTTTATTTGTTTGTTTTTGTTTGTCTCTTTTCTACATGGATAATTATTATAAAATATTTGAAAATATATATTGTTGCTAATTGTGGCTTGCAAATTTGTCCTGGGGATCTTAAAAATACGAGAAACCATTATGAATCAAAAATTGAAAATCAATCATTTAAACCCCAAATCCGTTTTTTTGCTGTAGGTACCTACTGGATGATTCAAATTTCTACCTTGGAGGCGTTTTTACCTCACACAATCACATTAACTAATTGCTTTTGTATGACATGAAGATACTTTTTTGGAAGTAAAAAATATATGATAAACTTAGAGAGTATAATTAGATTACAACAACTTTGTGAAACAACTTTTATTGCACATGGTACTTAAAACTAGATGAAATTAACAAATAAAAAAATTGTATTTGAAAAAATGTATTACCATTTATTAACACTTCTGTACGTTTTGAAAAGATACATACATTTAGACCTAAGATACAATACACTCCATAAATTAATTCTTGAGCTTACTAGCTCAAAAGGAGAGATTATCAGCTTTGATCAAAATGAGAAAAAACTGAATAAAACTGCATTTATGTATCTTGAACACAATATGACAAGAAGTAATTTGAAAGTGACATCCTTAAATAGAAACGTAAGATTTAAAATAAAACAACATATTCAATGGAAGATTTAAAAAAATTAATTTATTTCCTTTGAAAAGTAGGGTGCTTTTCAGTGTCTACCATGATCATCTGTCATTTTCTTTGATAAGTTTTAGCTGTTTGAATTACTTCATTTGCAAGTGGATTGATCAAATAAATAGATAGCTTTTATGTTTTAAAAATAAAAATGTTGTACCTACTACTGCAAGATATCATGCTACAAACACTCTTATCAAATAATTTAAGAAACTAATTGTTGCCTTAATCTTTGCACGGTTCTGCAGTCTAAGTAAAACATAATTTAAACACAGATGTACACCATATAAAATTTGACTTGAAAATAAATTAAAAACATATGACTAAACAGGAACTAAACTGTACAACATTGAAATGATTATAAACGCATTCCTTCTTGAATGCAAAACTTGTCAAAAATACTTCACAGATAAAATATACATTTTTAAAAAAGTCAAAAGTTAAAACTTCAGAATTTAGAGGTTTGACATTTGAAGAGAAGCACCTCTAGACAAGTGAATTTTTTGTTCTAATTCAGTAATTTTTCTAGAAGAACTTAAGGGTTTATTTTTTTTCTTTCTTTTAAATTCCAAATTGTTCTCAACAATTTGCCATAGCTGCCAAGAGAAATGCATAACTAATAAATTATCAAGTCTGGTTTCAAGTGAACAAGCTCCTCTCTTGACATTCACCAGAAGTCATAAAGACTGCATTTCTAACTGATCGCAGAAACATCAATTGATGGCTGAGCTATGCTCTTTTCAATTTGCTGGTGTTTATGCATTTAAATTCAAATAGGCCTTTTTGAAATTATTGCCTCAAGCTGCGATACAAAAATTTAATTATGTACATTGATTTTATACACTTTACAAACAAAAGCAAAAAATTTAACTAAGGCAACCAATGTCCGCAAATGTCTTGCATTCATTCCAGAGAAGATAAAGTTGTGCAAAACCCATTTGAACTAATACTTCTCTCAAAAGAGACTTTCATCTAAAACGTCTTTACTGAAATAATTTGCATTTCATTGTACTATTTTGTTAAAATTGGAGTTCTTATGTAACAAATGACCATTGTTGACTTTACAAACAGAAAAACTAAGATAATTTTTAAGAAACTAAGATATTCGGAGAATACATACATATCGCGGAGGGGTCCTGTCAAAAAATGTTTTTTACTGAACTTTCATAGTCTTTTACCTCATCACATTTGCAGACATTGTGTGAATTGAAAAAATCTTTGACACCTTCAAGTTGCAAACACTAACTAAAAGAGATCGGCCAAACCTTTCGGTCCGGCAAAACAAGGTACTTCAAGTAGGAACTGAGCTAATTTTTTTTTTACTTGACTCTGTTTCCCAGTCAAGGAGAGACTTAACATTAAAAGGCTAGAAAATATCACAATTTGCTTATCCACGACCTTCTCGGGTCATTCATTTAGGGCTGCTTGAAGAGCACTCCATCATCTGGTGAGGGTTGCAGAGGAGAGTTCTGTGGCATAACGATCCATCATTTCAAAAACGACTCCGTTGCTCCATCCAAAACCAATCTGAGACTCATACTCTCCACCTCCACCATTGTCACCTGCTTTTTCTACATTGTACTGGAAAAATAAGATGTACACGATTAGCACCGAGTTAATACTTCAAAATTTGTGTGTCCTTATAAAAATGTTAAATGTATTTTAATTCTTAAATCATTTCAATGCACCTCATGGGGACATGATAACAACTGAAAAGTAGGACATGCATGATTTAAGACAGATTTTTAAATTAATCGAGTATAATTTAATTAATTAATTGATTGAGTTTCGAATTAGTACATTTTGCAGACAAGAGCCAGTAAAGCCAATACACCTGAGTTTGTCCATTCGTCTCATTCTATTACACATAGGACAACATTGGTATGTTGAGTCCATTCTATATTTATGTATCAGACTCCAGAAACAGATATACCGATCAGCGTATTTTTTTTTTTTTTTTTTTTTTTTTTTTTTTTGCCATTAGCTCCATTTGTTGCCATATTGTGCCATCAGAGTATGATGTCTCGCGTTATGTAAGACTTAAAAAGAGATATGGTATCTTTCATGTCACTGTGAGGTCACCATTTTTTTTATAATCATCTGTTCAATCACTCTCAAGGTTCTGACCGCAGAGTAACGATCAGTTGAAACGCTTTGATCAGCTCATGCTGATTGAAGCGCTCCTGATGAGCATAATATGGAAGTTTGAGCAGTAACCTCAAATTTTCAAATTTTTCAAGAGGCACGGTCATCAGTTCAACATTTTGAAACATAACTCTGATGGCCCTAATATCGCCTACAATGCTGATGGTAGTGAACAAAATACGACTGTTGTCTTCTCATCAACATCAAAACCTGGTCATGGGGGAGGATAAGGGGTCATAATCTCATCTCTGTGATTTTAAAATAAGAACTAAATTCTGCGGTGAAAAAAGGGGGAAAAAGCTCAGAAAAATTTTGCTCAATATTACAAGAGGGTTTTTCACAGCACAACTTTAAACATCTCAAACCTTCTGACATTGATTATGAGGGAGTCTGCTAGGGAAGGAGAGAAAATTTTAAGCAAACGAGTTGTTGGCAATCCTAAAAGCTTGGAACGAAAACGGTTGGCTACCAAAAATTTTCTTCAAAATTAAACTCATTCTGCTGAGAGAATGATAGCGTCTGTTCAATATTTACTGCAAAGATTAAAAGGAAAAAGAAGTTACATAACCACATTTGCTGTCTGATAGAAATGACTCTTTGAGGCTACTAGTAAAAAATTATTCTAAATCAAAATGTTCCATAACACAGGAGAATTAACTTACTTTTTCATACATAAAACCAGTTTTTTGGAAACCAAGGTAGTTGGAGTGGACCCAGTCTTGTGCTAGCTTCAAGGCGATCGCTTGCGCCTGGGGAACATTGGTGCGGTCAAGGCCTTGAATCAAGAATACTTGAACAGGGGCCCATGCGTTGGGAAAGTCCCATTGCTGTCCTGTCCTTTCCAAAGAAGAGGGTATACCTGAAAAGGATTGAGAAACATGACAGCGTCTTTTAAAAGTTCCTAGAATTTGATTTTTGTGCCTGACTTAGACTTTCATGCTCATTTTTTTCTGCTCCTTCCGTGTAGTTGATAGGGCACCTTCTTTTTCTTTACTTTTTCAAGTTGCAGCAAATTTCTTCATTAATATTCACCCACAAAAAGTAAAGGCTAAAGAATGATCTCGAATTTACTCAAGACTAGCAAAGCTCAAAGGCGGTAAAATTTTCATTGACGGCTTTTGGTATAGTTTTGATAAGTTTAGTAGAATTAAGGGTAAGTAAGTCAGACAGGATAAGCACCTCTGTATGAAGATGTACCTACCATGATAGTGAATAGTGTAGTCATCCTTGATGATTTTTTCCCGTTTTATGTACTCAATAACCTTGGCTGCCATGAAGTTTTTCGGCTGAGAGTAACTCTCAGTCCACAGTGGGGCAATGTTGGAAGGGAAAAAGTATTTTCGGTGTTGTTTATTTATTAAGTCATAGTCAAACCAGGATCCAATGTTTTCATTCCATAAAACCTTTAAAAGAAAATAAGAGAAATTCAAACATTGAAACAAGCAGGTACACCGGAGTCGGTAAAAGAAACGCCTGATACGCCATCCAACGATATGTCACGAGTGGGGGATCCCCATTTGAAAATGTTGAAATGTTTGGGGACTGCTCCCTCCTTTAGACCCCCTTGGGGATTGAGGGGTCAAGACCTCCCCCCCTCCCAAAGTTATCCCCTTGATGATTAGAATAATAGTCCAAACTGAAAAATTTGAACTGAATACGTAAAAAAGTTATTGGTTATCAAGCGTTTCTTTTGCCCATCTCAATAGAAAAAGCTCAATTTATTTATCTTTACACTCATACAACAGAGCAGATTGCATACTTGCTGGGGTGTAACTTGGTCTTTTTTTCTGTAGGGATATCAATATTGCAACTAGCAAACAGGAAGCAGCACTTTTGCGGAGCGCTGCTCATGCCATCAAAACTGTACTACCCAGACCCCTGATCATATTCCTTGTAGTTCAAATAAAAATAACTGCATTGTAGCATTGTCACACATATCAACAAATAAAGAAGATTTTCTACCATAGATCAAAGCTTTTCTCTTCTTTAGGGAATTGGATTTCTTCGGAAAATGTGATTTGGTTTTAAAAAAATAGATAAATAATCTTAGAGTATAAGATGATTACAGAAGAAAAAATTTATGATAATTACAAGGTTGAATAACACAAACATTTTATATTTAAAGAGAACTCGGTTTTAAAAATTTGAATCAGCACAAACCTCATTTATTGAAGTAAGAAGTTTTTCTGCGATTTCCTTAAAGTACTTTCCTCGGTACTTATCGCCCATCATGTACCACCATTCGCTTAGTAAGACAGCATTCTTGTGGAGAAATGCATTTAAGTCGACAGGTATTATACTAGGCGTGTGAACATCCAGAAGTGTGCCTGGAAACAGAAAATTGTTTCAATGAATTCCCAATTTTATGATAAATGGTTTGACCTTGAGAACTCATTTACAAAAAATGAGATATACTGCTTAAGAATCTAGATTGAATTCATCAAAATTTCTGACTTTCTGATTCAAACTTGCTTGTTAGGATCAGTCGAATTCTATGCATAGCTTTTCCTTCCACAAATAAAATACCAAGTGCAAGAAACAGTGCTATCACAGGTGTACAAGATGGAAAATTTAGGTTCCAGATTTAGATAAATTTTATTTGTTTTAAATTTTCTGAACTGCAAATATGTATTTTTTCACTCAGTTAATGGAAGTTCAAATAAACGTTCCAATACTAAACTAAAGTAAGTACAAAACGAACGAAGGAATCATCCCAGGCATTTCATCATTTGACCTTAAATCTATAAGAGCGAGTTCAAAACTTACCATTGCCTGCACCGTCTTTGATGAACCATCTAGATGAGAAATCCCACCCACTTTCAGCTGCTGACTTGATACGAGTATACCATCGTGTGCGCTCACTTTCAGATGGAAGGGTTTGAGCAATTTCATAATCCTCTCTATAAGAATATAAAATATAATAATATATCTCTATAATAATAAAAAATAAAAGCCACTTTGTTAACACATGCCAATTAGCATAATGATGAAAGTTAGATGACAGAAAACTCATGTTTCTTCTGCAATTTATACAATTTAGGGAGCAATCCTCCGTTTATTTGATGGATTACTTTATACTCCTACCCTTGAGTGACCAATGTCTTATAATTAGATTGTCTTTGATGAGCCCAGGTTTTAGGGCAAGTATTATAACAATCAGAGAGAGAATGAGAGAGTATAACAGAGATTATCATTTGCTGATTGGTAATTGATTTTTGCAGGATTATCATCAGTGCACTTAGAGACACTAACTTCCAGATCATCACGATAATGTGGTAGCAATCGAACAATTATGAAAATATTGATGACTCTCAGCCACGTTTTTAGTACGTAGGAATTCATTATTCATTCTTATAACTGGTTCATTAAGATTTACTGAGATAAATTTCTCACCGATTTTCTTGGATTCTACATATTGGAGGAAGATGCTACTGATAAATTTCATTCTCTCACTCAAAAATTTGAATGAAATTAAAATCATTTCATCCAAGAAATAAAATGTTTTGTGCAGTGGACGACTTAAAAAAAGTATTTCAAGGAATACATGTAAGAGCTTTGAGGCAAAAAATGTTTGGAGGTTGAGTTATTAGACTTTTTTTTTAACAAACAATTTTTGAATAGAAAGTAAAAGACCTGAAATAGTTAATGTCTTTCATTATCACTAAAATAAATACACAGCTCGTAAAAAATATGTGCATCATTGCTTAAAACTTGAATGAGTGAACATTAAAATTTAAGATTTAGTGATGATAGACAAAAATTGAAATATTCTCTGAGCGATAAAACTGAATAAAAGTAGATAAAATATCATAAAAGAAGCCACATAATTTACCTATAAGATTCTGGTCTTGGTCCATTTGAGGGAGCATAATATCGGAACATATTGTAAGTTTTCTTGTCTTTGATAAATTTTACTTTCCGGTTCGTCTGCCACCATTCAAACTCCTTTGTCAAAGTCTGTGTGGCACAAAAATGTAAAAGACTTTATTAGAGAAAGTAGGATTCCAAAATACTGTAATATACCTATAACTTTTTTGACAAATCAGTGAAAAGTTATTGGATGCTAATGTTTTAAGTTTTAACACATAAAAATGAAAAATCATGCTTACTAAAGAATTTAAAACATTGAAAATCCGATGAACTTCAATGAATATTCTTTCTGCGATCTTGCTCAGGGCAAAAAGATAACATATTCTCCAGTGAGGGGGGTGCTTTCATTATGTTCCTAAAATATTTAATGAATATTTACTGTTAAGATTGTGAAAAAACTGGACTTATTCATAATAAGAGAATATTTTAAATACTGGTTTTGTATGAGTGTGTTTTCCCCTCTGTTTACTAGAACAATCTTCTAAAGTTACAGAAAAATAACACCTGGTTCATTAGCCACTTGACGGACTAACCATTAAGATGCAATTAGCTGAAGCTTGAAAACTTCTTCAGATCCCCAAGTAGGATGGGAAAGTAAATAAAAATTGTTTTGAGCAGGAAAGCACAATGATAAGAAAAATAAGAGGGGAAACAACTGAACTGGAATTCAGGAAAATCATGAAAACAGTGAACGATAAAATCGAGAATTTAGAGGAAAAAGTGGAATGAAAAACACTTGATAGAAATTGATAAAGAAATTACGTAGCAAATCTGAGTGATGTAGCACACTTAAGTACCAAGTGATTTATCTACCAAATCCTAGAAGTGCGCAACTGGTGAACATAACAAATAATGTGCAATTATGATAAGAGCAACACTTGTATGAATCTTGAGTACTTTGCAGGGTCAAATAAATTACAATCAGACAAAATCTAGCTTTGTGTACATATTGTATGTTATATAACTTTGTAATACTCTTGCCTTCTTCAACTTCAACTTTGTGTTCAGTATTCACCATCACACCAAATTAAGTTTCAAAATTTCCAGGTAAAAAAGGATGGAAAATAAAGTTGGACTGGAACTTCTTTATAGCAAGAAAAAGCTAATACAATCCAAATGAATTAATGAACTCACCTTGATATTTTTTTTGATGAACTGAAAATCATTGGTAGCTTTGTAATAATTATTCATCATCTGGATTAGCAATGGAGGTTGTGAGCGGTTCAAGTAATAAACTCTGGAGCCATTTGGTATGAAACCTATCTTTTGGACAAGGCTTAGTAGATTTTCAATGATTCCTTTGGCTGTATCGTTCATGTCACTCAAAAGGAGTCCATTGATGATCCAGTATGTGTCCCAATAGTACAGCTCTCGGAACCTGAGGCCATAAATTACTGAGTTTAACTTTAAATTAATGATGAAACAAAAAAAAACAACTCTTGACTTGGAGACTTTTAAGAGAGCAAAGTCTTTTTTGATCAATTTTACCTACCATTCCAAAACGGTTCTTGATACAGGAGGGGAAAAGTTCTGAGATCAAATTTTTATAGTAATCACTATTGATTTCTTTAATTGCAAATGTAAATCAGTGATATCTCTACTGATATAAGATATTCTCAATACTGAAACAGTTGGTATAAATTATACTTTAACGTTCAGAAGACACTCTATGTAAATCTAGCATGACCTTAAAAATTCTCAAGAAAGAACTTATATTTTAAGTACATTTGATTTGAAAAAAATAATTTTGCTCCTGAGATATAGCACTCAAAAATATCCTTAAAAGGTAGGAGATCGAAAAAAAGGAAGAAGACAGTACGACGGCGTAACTCACCTGCCACCAGGAATGCAAAAGCCGTTTGGAACATATATCAATGAATAACGATCACTGTTTTCATTCACTTCTGGTTTGATCTTTCGGGCTAGAATTTTCCAAACTTGTTGTAGTCCACTCAGGAATTTTTTGTAACCTGTAAATTGAGCAAAAAATTGCCAGTCAGAGAAATGTATAACAAAATGTAATAGAAAACGATGGAAGAATGAGAGGAGGATGTCACAGAGGAAATATTCAGGGCTTTGAAGTCCCAAACTCTGTATATTCCTCCTCCCACACCTTTAGATTAGGTGAGCCTCTTCTACAATTCTTACTTTCATCACAGATTTTGATTTGTCTATGAGCTAATTTCGATTAGTAACCTTATTCAACAAAACGGAAAAAGGAGTGGAAAAATAAGGCTGAGCTGTTTAAAAACTTCCGAATTATCGTACCTTCATCCGAAACTTTGGCCATGAGAGTTGTTTCGGGTTTAAAATCAGGCGGGTCCCACTTTTCGAGTTCATCTCCATCTTCAAAGTGCTCTGAGACAAAATCGACAAGCTCTTCTTTCGAAGGCGGTTTTCCTTCATTCTTAGCCTTTAGTTCTTCATATTTGGACAGAATATAGGGTTCAGAAAATTTCATCCGCTTGTCCACAAAGGTCTTTGAGTCAGGATAGATGTGGGCCAATTCAACATCATGCAAAAGTTCACTGTCGCAGTAGATTTTGCTGGAAAAGGAAATAGACAATAAGGATAAAAAAATTACCATCAAGTCCATTAGTTTTAGTTCAAAACCACAAATTCACATTAATTACGTATAGGCATGCCCTCACGAAGAACCTAGGCTTTATATTCTTTCAAGCAATCTATTTAACAATGGATGGTAGCTTCTGTTGACTTCCAACACAAGATTGACAAGGATCAACTGCCAGTACTGCCACCAAAATGAAGGCTTAAAAATAAGCAGAGCTATTAGGAAAGAAAACTGAAACAATCGACAGTTCAAAAAGTTCAAAGTTCCTTTTTCTCCTCTTCATGAAATAATAATAGGGAGCAGTTGGAACATTAAAAGGAAAAAAATAAAAATTTCTTACTTTATTAGATAAATGACTCTATCTACTCTCTATGAAAACCTTCTTCCATTAAAAAAGTTATTATAAAAAGCTATGAAGCAGCAGAAAAACACTTCCTTTTAAAAATGCTTGTTCCTCTCAGAATTGTTTAGATAGTTGATTGGTTGGAATGGTGGTGACAGCAGAAAAAAATAAGCAGGGGCTTCACTTTTTGTAGAATTTCTTTAAGAAAAGAATTTCTTAAAAATTAATAAGAATGTTACCTGCTCCTGATAAAATTTAATATTTAATGGGATTAGGTTCAAAATATTAGAATAATGTTGAATTGAGTCATTCAATTTGAAAAAGAAAGGAGAAGGGGAAAAATACAAAAACAAACACACTATGCAAAGTAGAAAAAATTACTGATTAAATTTTAACCGATTTTAAGTTGAGTATTAAAATTGAAAAGTTGTACAAGATTACTTGAATGTTGAATGGAAAACATTATTTTATAAAAGCATTTGAAAAAGCTAAAGATTAACGTGCAATATGCTTACAGATGAAAGAGTAATGCAAGTAGTGAAAGGTAATGAAAAGAGTATCTTTAATTTTTTTTCACTGTTTTAATTTTATATTTTACTTTATAAAGACAGTAGACTCTTTCATCTTTGATATCCGACATACATGGTTACACAAGTTAAGATTTACATATTTCTGCAAGAGAGTCTACTCTATGACAATTGAATTACTAAAACGACATGAAAATTTAATTTAGATGAATGCTCAAAAAATTAAAATCGTTTTACGAGGAGATTAACTCACCGATCAACGGTTAACAAACCAGGTAAAGTTAATATAATGACATATTTTTTTAAGAATATTAATTTTAATTCATCACTCTAGGGTCTTCTTTTTATTGTTTCATTTTTAGTCATAAAAACTTTTAAAACTAGAAATTGTGTTACAATGCTATTGGTTTGAGTCAAAAATTACATTCCAATTCGAAAAGAAAAAAATAAATGAGAAAAATATACTTTTTGGAAAAAATTACCTGTAACAAGAGGGTAAGTAGTTAGTATTATAATCATCAATAAGATTGTAATCAAGGCTTGTTGATAAGCAAACTGCATTTAATGCGGCTGAAACAACCAATAAAAACCGCATTTTGGGGACGGAAAATTACCACTACAACAAAATCAAAACTCTACAACCATTAAATGTATAAATTCTGGGAAAACTTGAGAATCTAGGTAAGGAACCCCAAACAAGAAAAGGATTCAAAGCTCACACCCCACCGTACAAGAGTGAAATCTTGGAAAAGCTGACTGCTGAATTTGTGCCAATCTCCTACGAATATATAGCAAATCTACTTGCTTTTTATCCACCCCACTTCCCCTTGCCCATCAATCTCATTGTCAGGAGTGACAACAATCAATGTAGATTAGACAAAATCTCAATTAGCATCTTAAAAGGAATGAAAAACAACTGACGTAAGGAAGAGAAGAATAACAAAAATCTGAGCAGAACCTGGTGAAGTGTTTAGCATAATTCATAAGTGGTCAAGTTGAAGAGCAAGAGAGGGTGGAGGGCAGGGACTCTTCTGTTTGCTTCTTTCTTTCTTGTCTCCTTTCATCTCTCTCAATTCTGAAAAGAATTAATGAAAGCTCTGAATACTTTAGCTCACCTTTTCTCCTTCCGGCTGCAAAATAGTGATTGTTCCTATTCACTCGCCTGCGTGGCCAAAACAGGTGGTCTGACAGGAGTTGAAGCTGAAAGATGTGCAAATTGTGGCCGGCTTTGCTTTGATCACTGAGGAGTAAATTAGCACTTCGGGCCAGTAAGTGTGGGAAGGTCTGCCACGACATTCTTTTAAAATGTGGTTGGACACTGAGTTTAGGATGAACTGTAGCAAACATTTAAAAAGAAAAGTTATTAGAAAAAAAAGGAACCCATGTGCTGATTTTTACAATGGAATGTTTAAAAATGTATGACCTGTGAATCAATTGAAGGGCTTGGAGAACAAGGCGCATAAGTACAGTTTTTGCTATTTCAAGAGATACTTGTTTGAAGCTTTTAAATTACATAGATCCTTATGGCAGAGAGAAAGTTTAAACTGACTTTTTGATGCTTAAAAATTGGAAATCGGGAGCAAATTTATCACAGAATATGCATTAAGACTAGTTTTACTTGAAATCATTAATAACTCAATTTTTTTCAAAAACTGCACTTTTGCCGCTTCTTCTCTAAGCCCCTCGATAAGTCTTCTTCTAGACAGTGCTTTGATTTGTTTAGTTTTTACACACATATGAGCGTGCCTAGAAATTTTGGGTGAAAGGATAGCTTGTAATACAGTCATCTACTCTTCGAGGAGTGCATTAGCTTTAAAGAGCTCCATGCTGCCAGAATTTTTTTGTGTAGAGAGGCACAAGCATTTTGAGAGGGCCAGGCCTGCACATTATGCTCATCCCCCCCCCCTTCCTTCCCCCAAAGAACCCCCATCAAAGAGACTCACTACTTATTTATGTATTTTGCCATTGATACATTTATTGGGGGGATTTATTTTATTTATTTATTTGGGATTAGTGCAAGTCATCACAAAATCATAATATTCATTTTTAAAATACACAATTATTACCATCAACATTCTTTGGCTAACATTAATTTACTAAAATCTCCACAGAAATGTTTCAGAATCATAATACAAACCACAGTGGTTAAATAAGACAATGCAATAGAAAATAAAGACACATGAAGATGAAAGATGTACCACTGGAAAGTTCCTGTTTGCTAAGTGGAATTCAAATTATTTTCATGATTTTCAAGAAAATTAGCTCCTAAAACTATGAAAATAGGTAGAACTTAAAAAAAATAGTATGGAACAAGAATGTAGTGTAATTGATTGAAATTTCTGAATAAAATTTTAAAAACGTTGGATATGTTAAAATACTAAGTTTTTATTGCCACTTTTGTTACAACTGATTACTCTTCCTTGCCCTTTTTCTACTACATTTTCCTGCACCTAAGATGGTTATTGAATACCTAATTAATTTGCTGATTTTACTATTTTAATTAACTATTTAATTTTTCTTGGACTTACAGTGTGCATTCATATCATAAATTCTGTCTAATGTCTAATTTGTGCACTAAAGAGGGCATTGGTGGGGGGAGGGGGGGATCATTGAGAGGAAATGTTTTTTCTTCTATTTAAGGTCTTAATGAATGTACTTATTCCCTCACTGCCCTTGAAATTCTTTCCTTAGTTACAAAGAAGAAGAAAATAAACAAATATGAGGTACTTAAACCATTAAAGATAGGAAAATGCAGAAGTAACCTTGAGCATTAGTCTCTTACCTATAGTAGATCAGACCATAAGGAGGTTAAAAAATGACACAGACAGACGCACAATAATTAAACAAATGTTGTGCAAGCACATAAAATAATAAACAGACCCAGTTCAAGATTTTTTTTTTTTCATCAAAATGAAATGTAAATAAACCTTAAAGTGTCACTCATGATGAGAAATTTAAGGTTTTTCAATCTGTCACGATAAAATTTGAGTGTTTTCTGAAGAGTTTCATGAATGAATATTGATATCATATCCCTAGATTTAATTCTGCAGCTGCAGTGAATTAAACAAGGGGTTAAATGCTTATATATTAAAATTTGGCTTCACGGCAGAGTGATAAAATTTGACATTTAAAAGATGTGACATGGAGGCACGTTTTGCAGCACATGTTGGAGGTAAGTGCTGTCTTTCTTTGACGTCATTCATTCTTTTAAGGAGTATACCTAATTATTCATTTACTTAAAACTGAAGTTTTCAGATAAGAGAAAAAATTAGGGGACAATTTTTTGATGAGATACATTCTGAATCCATTCATTTCACTAGAATGAAATGAAAATGAACACAATGAATGCATCTTTGGCTCCAAATTATTGGGCCAATCTACTGGGCAAGTTGTCCAAAATCTGAAATCTATCATCAATTAGCCTAAAATATAGGTAGCTGTATAACTGTATATTACATATGAACCATGAAACTGCAAAAATGCCTATCTGGTTATAATGTTTCAAAATCTCAGCTCATATTTTATATTTTAAAAAGAGATCAAACCATGGATGAAAATTTACGTAGTATACATATATGTGGTATCTTTTCATCCTTGACCAAGCAACATAGACCTGGCCATACCCTCCTTCTGATGTCGGCTAATTCAGTGCTCGTGCATTTGTTTCTGTACTTAAAATACTAATTACTTCCACCCATTAATTTTGTCCCTGATTTCCTTTCAAAGACTCAATTTATTTCATAAAAGAAGGATTCAATGACTGAGAAATTCTCTGCAGCTCGAATGGAATTTCTGCAACTCTTATAAATCATAAAAACCTCTAATAAAATATAGTCTGAGAACACGGACAGCCTTCATTGATAGAATGATCGAATAAACTACTTGCTTTATTATGAAAGAGGACAAGATGCACATGAGTGAGTATGCACTCTGAAGGCCACCTGTAGTAAATAGCACAAGAAACAAATGTTAAGATAAGATGTGAGTGAAGGAGAATGAAGTAGGTTTGAAATACCAGCAAAACTATGAGCAATGACCATTCATCATGCATAGACGTCAGTGGATGAGGTCATTAATTCAACTGCAAAAAGAGTGGCAAGAGAGATATATTCAAGTTCTGCTTCCAGTACTTGAAATCATTTGCTGGGAGATAAAGGGTCAAGTAGTCATCGAGTTTTAGAGGCCCTCCAGTTACGAGATCGCCTGGACTTAACTCAAAGTGTTTGATAATGAAATACGTCTTTAACAATGGTTGATAAAAATTAATGCTTAAACAATCAAGTTTAAAGATGCTCTTTCTTACAAATTAGCATTTCAATACTTATGAAATGTAGTTTAAATGATTTAATGCTCATGTGTCCAGCAATGGTGAGGTCAATGACTTATGCCCACTATTAGAATATCATTTGAAAAAGATTCTTTCTTTTTCTAAGTTTTTCTATATTTTATTTTTTCTCATGGTGGTTTGTAAGTATACCGGGTGATCCAGACCACCCGTCCACTGTCTCTATCCGGAGAACCACTGAAAATCGAGTTTTGAGGGCCAGGCCCGCCACAAGGGTGTGGATACTGAGTCCATGGTACCGGGGCTTGGGCCTTGGACCCAGTATCCCCACCCTAATGGTGGGCCTGGCTCTTAAAACTCGATTTTCAAAGGGTTCTCTGGTTAGAGATAGTGGACTGGTGGTCTAGATTACCCGGTATATCATAGTGGGTTTTAATCCTCACTTAGAATAGGCCTTATTTAAATTCTGATGAGAGGGGTACAAAAAGGAAAAACAGTAATGACGTCCTCTACCTTCCCTCTTCTACAAAAACACCAGTTCGAGAAGTATGTGATAATATCGAGAACTCTCACATCTCTCCTCAAATATTAGTACATTGTCATAATTCCCTCAATTTTTCATCATAGTTTAGCTGCTCTTTCGTACTGCATTAAAGGAGATTGAAATCTTCGAATTTTTATCGATCACATATGGTGGGATACTTACTTAGAGATTGAAGGCAACTGATAACACCTTATCATGGAATTCGTTTCCTATATTTTGATTGGACAAAAGCATTCTCCAGACCTGCTGCTGAGGGAGGGAGGGTTTTGTCACAAATCTTCCATCTCTTTTACATCTTCAGTTAAAGTTTCCCAGTATTTTGATTTTTCAATGCCCACTTTTTAAAGAGGGAGACTTTAAATTTCACAGTAATACGCAAACAAGTCAAAGATGAAAATTTAATGATTGTAAATCATCAATCATCTTAATATTAGCTACAAAAAAAGTGTTCATCACTGGAGAAAGCACAGTAAGTCTGGATCATCATCATCAGCCCTGGTAAACCATGGAGTCCTCCTTTTTAATTTCTAAGTGATTATTTGTTGGTTTGAGTCCTCGGAAAAGACATGAATAAAAAAAAGAAACAGTCTGATTTACTTTTCTTCCTGATCTAGACTCAGGAATTTCAATGAAAAGCAAATATTGAACTAATAAGTAGAAAAACTTCACGACAAGCACCTGAAGACGAAAAACGTCCAAGAAAAAGTTACTGAAAGCTAAAATCATGATTGGAAATTCCAAAACTGCATGAGATTTCTTCGTCGTATTAACTGATCAAGGAACTCTTAAGGGCTTTTTTTTATCCGAATCACAGAGGATCGTGACAGAATGCATCACTTTTTATCCCGTTCCACTGGCACGTTCCAGTGCGTTCCATGTGTTCCTGTGGAACGCTTGGACCGCTCTTCTGAGGTTGGTTAAGGCTGCAGTTAGACCGGTCTAACCAGCCTGATCCGCTACCATCACGTTCCACGGATAAAAAAAAGCCCTTCAGACAGAGGTAACGTTCATGCAGCATCAGTCAACCAGTATCTACAAACAATTGTCACTCCAGGAAGTATGCTTCTCAAAATTGTTGGTGCAATTTCGATAAATTAGAAAAACAATCCACACTTCAAAAGTTAATTACTTAAAGGAGCTAGTCAAAATGGCTCAGGATGTTCTAGTTTGAATTTTGACAACAGCTGTTTCCTGAAAATCTGCGATAATAATTTAAGAGCATGCCCAAATAGTAGAGTCAACGCCAAATTAGTTTATGCACTTCTAGAATGTGATAGAAGATCATCTGATGTCACTTTTGCATGTAAAGTAACTGGAAGAATCAAGATGGAGGTTCATCCATCTTAGTCTGAAAGTGCGTAAACTTACTTGGCAAGGACTATAACTGATCTTAGTAATTAAATCATGCTCCTCACTAAGGTGCAGTATGCATCAGGTGCATATCAAATGAATAAATAAGATCAATCGAATCCTACTACCATGCACCTCAAGTACGGCAACATTCAATTTGAGCCAAACGATACATGGCTGAAAAACACTGTCTAAATTGGGAGGTTCGTGTTCAAATTAAGGTTGTACTTCGGATAAAGCGTGGAAAAAATTGTATAATAAATGATCAGAGGAGTTTGTTACCTTCAAGGAATTGAATCTGCTGAATGAAAAACGATGAGGAAGAAACAAGAGTTACTAACAAGTACACTTTGGTTTGAGTTGTTTGAATGCTGAGAGGGAAGAAGAGAACAAAATAGGAGTTTACAAAAACTTCATCAATAAATTTCGGAATCGCAACCTTGGAGCTTGAACTTATGCACTTCCTTCATATTGTGAGAAAAACGTTAAAAAATATAGGGTCGAGGCCGTGAAGTCTTGCAGCGCAGTACGGCATGCCCGTCACTAGGGTTATGTTTATGTTTACAAGATGCTGATTGGCCCTATCAGTCAAATTCAGCCATCCTCAGAAACCGCCAAAACTTTAAAAAACCGCGATGAGTTCTACTTTGAGGAGCCTGAATTCTAGTTTCATTCGAAATATTCATGAATTCTATCCATTTTACGGACGTATTATCTATCTGTAGTCCAGGAGGTGGCTGTCATTTTGATCTCTCACTTCAAAATGGATAAATTTCTGAAAATCAACAGAACTGCCCTCCCTGATCTCAGAACAATAGTCAGCCCAATCAGTGCTGGAGCATTTAACGCCGAAGGGCTCTAAGGGCAAGAATGCCAAAAAAATTTCTTAACCCATTATAAAGCAACCAAAGTTTTTCCAATGCAGTATAGTTTCGTGCGCAATCAAAGAGTTCCCAGTGATCAGTTGATGTGACCGGAAATGCTGAGAATTTCTGGAAGATTCTTTCTTGGCACTTCCCTTTCTTCTTTGTAAGACAACTTTTTCTGGGACCGGGAAGTAATATTGCATGGGAAAAACTTCGTCTGCCTCATTTTGAATAAGACATTTTTCTGGCATCATTGCCACTTTTAGAGCCTTACTGCAGTAGGACGCCCCAGCTTTGGTTAGGTCGACGACAAGGTTTAAAAGCAGGGAAGAAGTTTTGTCGATTTTAAAAAATTTGTCCATTTGTAATGGGACACCAAAGCAACAGCAACCTCCTGGATATTAGTATAAGGCTAAATAAAGAAGTGGGTAAATGAAACAAGGATTTCAAGAGATATGAAAGAATACATCTGCATATTTCACTTGAGGCAATTATATACTGGAGAGCACTAATGTCAAAATATTGAAGTTTTGCTTTGAGTTTTTGGCAAAAGCAGGAAACAATACATTAAAAAGGGCAGATCAGCTGATTATTCCCAAAAATTATTCTTTCATAGTTCTAAATTGAAGTAGAAAGTATTCGAAGTATTGATTAGGAGACTTTATTCTACTATATGGAGAAGAAAAAATAATTACTTATTATTTAAATCTTGGGGAAATCAATGAATAGTGTTGAACTGTTGAAAGATTCTGTTTGGTTGCACATTGATCCCTTGAATAGTAAAAATCCAATTCAAAACAAAGTATGTTTAAAAAGAAAAGGCATTTGCATTTATGTAATCAGATCAACGTTTATTTGCTGAATCATATTTGGCAAAAAAAAAAATACAAAATAAAAAAAAACTCATTCTGTACAAAACAACGTTACTAAACAACAAATTCGAAACAATCACTTCAGTCTGCTTATCTACAAAAAACTTAGGAAAAACACTGTACACGACTTTTCACAGGAATAGTTACAAAATTAAACTCGAATTTAGTGGAGTGAATTCCTTCAGTTGTTATTCCAACCCTTATTTGCAGGATGCAGTTTATAAACTCAACTATTCATTACCAAACCAGCATGATTTCTTCCTGGCTAGATACCTAATAACAAAGTACCTACAATGAAAAAATAAAGATATTCATGCATACATTTACTGTGCAGACATGCGAACGGACATACTTAAAAAAGAGGCGATTATTCTATGACAGGACAATAGAAGTTGAAACAGCTACTGGAGAGAACAGTTGATCAAATATCGAACAAAGAAAAATAGACCATTTGAGGAGAGCTGTTCCTCACTGAGGTAATTTGGGAACTAACGGTGAATATGATGAAATTCTCCATCGCACAAAAAAGCATTTGTAACATGTTGGCAATAAAAATGAACAGTGCCTTACAAAGACTGCATACAATATCCTATTTTTCACTTTATAATTTTATGTTTTCATTGTGCATGGCCTTGTCCATTCAGTTTTTGCCGACTCACCTAATACAAAATAAATCCGTAAAAAAATAGAAATCAGACGGCCCACTATTCCAATACATGTCACTGAAATCAAATGAATAAGTAAGTTGGTGCATTCTTGTGTGTAGAAACAATTTTCCACCTCAAAATTCTTTGGATTCTGAATTGAGAGTAAAAGTCACTTTAGAATAAAAATAATATTCTGTCAAGAGTGACTCATTTACACTTATGATATTTCTGAGGCAAGAAAATAAGCCTTACACAGTTTGCGGGGGAAAGGAGAAGTTGATGGTGCACGAGCTATTCTTGCTTAGATACTTTGTGATGTATTGCATAGTGTGAAATGAAAGACACGGATTTTTTTTTTTTTTTTTTGAAAAAAAAAAAGAAAGGAATCCCTTACTGTATTCTTTTCAGCAACTATTTTCAACCAAAAATATTACAAGAAAAAAATGGTTATCAAAAATTCCTTTTTTATGTGAGATGAGCTCATCTTATAAGCTACATTTTTAACTGAAATCATGTTTAATCGGATACCTGAAAAGAAATTGATTCATGATTTAGAATCTCAAGCAATTATGTTTTTTGGCTGACCTATGGCTTTTCTTTGACTATTCCCTCTCTTATAAGTTTAGTTGAAAGCACAAAAAGAAAATTTATAATCCAGACAACATATTATCAAATATTTCTGGGCTGTACAATAATACTGAAAAATAAATATGGCTGCTAGTTCAATACAAACCAATTTCAATCAATTAAATCTAGTTCAATCTTCATCAGTGCTTTATAATCCTTTATTTACCATCAATTATTTTTTATGAAAATTTACCTACATCTTTGCAATAATTCAAGAACTTTCATGAAGTTTCATGGCTTGGAAAATCGTAAGTTGAAGTATGTTAATTTACCTCAATTTTTTTTTTCAAAAGAATCTACAGATATACTGTTGAAATGAAAATTCATGGTGTAGAATTACACAGAAAGATCTGCTCTTGAACTCACAGCCTGAGAGCCAGGTACATATTTTTGCAGTTCAGTCATTAAAAGAGTACATTATGATGAATGTACAATATATGAGCTAGAAGCTGAATAACCCTCGACGGAGTTTACGAACCCCGTCTCATACTGTTTCTACTTTTCCTTTCCGTCGCGCAGTTTTCTTGCTGGAGACAGAAATCTGACTGAAAGAGGTTTCAAGGTCTGATGGTTCTGCTGTATCATTCACAGGTGCATCTTGGCTGGAGCTTGCATTGCTGGTCTCAGATTGTTCTTCCACAGATGAGGCCACGTTTGCTGGATTAATTGTCTGTGAATAAATGCAAAAAAAACCAAATGAAAGTGATGAACACTGGCTGCTTCAGTGCATGGTTTACAGCATGGTTTATCCTTTGCTTCAGAGCAGAACTTACCAAAAATCAAATCAAAATAAACGATGAGGTAAGTTTTAGATGGTTTTTAAAAAAATGTGATATGATGACCAATACTTGCATCAGAGTTATTTGATTTAGGAGGCGCTAAGAGATGGGCACGGACTGCAGATGCAGAAGTTTTCTAAAAAACTGATTTTCTTCACAAACTGGTTGATCAAAAATCTCAAACTGATAAAGTATCCAAACTGAGAATATGTTGCTGCAATTTGCAATAGCACTGGGAGATGGGCATGCAGTGACAGGTAGCTGTCTTTGTAAGCCCCCGGATAAATTCTCAAAAACTCAGGCTGGTTTAACAGATGAACAAATTTCTGAACTGTATATTTGTATATTTTTACTGATTTGATTCTTCTCTTTCCATTTGGTAGATAAAAAATAGGGAGCTTAGCTATACAAATGACTCTTGTATACTTTCAACAAGCAAGAATTGTTTTTTGTTCAGGAAACTACACATACATACCTTTAAAGCAATATTTTCTAAGGGAATGTCTTCATTGGGACAATAGGTTGTGGACGGTTTTGGAGAGCTAGACAAACTTCGACAATGACCATTAGAACTGCCATTCTTTGCTGTAAAAAGTGGAAAAAAAACAGCAGAAATTAAACTTTTGAAAACATTGCATGGTGCATATAAAAAAAATGTGAATTTTAAAACTTTAATTGAAAGAACAAGATGGATTAGTTGCTATTTTATTTCTCTACTCCCATCATATATTTTAAGAAGTTACCACGAAAAATTTCAGATCAAGACTTTGTGGAAAATTTCAATACCATATGATTGTTTTGTTCTTGGTTTTTTTTTCAATTAATTTGAAATTAATATAATATACATGAATACTACTTTTACTTTTTCCTAAAAAAAAGTTCCTGTAGTTCTTCATATTTTTAAAAATTTATCCCAAGAATTTTGAAACTCAAAACTAGTATGTTTTTTTTCAGAAAACAGACTGTAGTAACAATCAGAGATTTTGCCATTCAGTTTGACAATTCAAGGGTAACTAGCATGGCAGTTGTCATAGAGCAGAGGGATTCCCTAATCTTAGATTTCTCAGTTACATGTACATCTGTAATAAATTGCGAATCCTCATGAAAATGAACTTTGAGTAATAGATCATGATGCTTCCATGGGTAAATAAGTAAGATTGGGACATTAAAAAAAACAATGAAAAGGAAATAAATGGTTCAGAATAAGCAAGGAGGCAAAAATTAAAATTCAAGCCAGAAAAAAAGCTTGCGAGAAGAATAAAAAAGAATTGCAAAAGGAAGACCAAGAAGAAAAAATTCAGAACAAAGGAAAGAGAGAGCGGAGGCAGAACAAAAGAAAAAAGTTTTCAGAGTATGCGGCACTGGACAAGAGAAAATTTTCGGTCAAGGCTGACACTTTTTTTCTCTCACTTACTAAGTTGATGATAAATTCTTATGATCATTATGACTGTACAATACTTCGGGACATATGCACCAAAGAAATTAACCATTTCAGTGATCACACAAAAAATTTGGTATCTTCAGTAAAATAAATAATGTAACGAATAAAAATAAATACTTCTTAGGCCAGTAAATGTTTTTATGTTGGACGTTTTTACTGACAAAACTCTAACCTCTAACCTCTTTTGCTATTCTAAGAAAAAACATTTTGACTTTTTGAATGAAAAAAAAAATAATATTGCTTTCTCTGGAGCTGTCTAATCCTCAAACATTAGTTGAGACTAAATATGACTCTCCAAAAAAAAATCTGAATTTTAAAGAGGAAAAATGAAAAAAACCAGAGAGGGGACAAAGAAGTCATTATCAGTTAAAGATTTTGAAGGGATGAATGAAATTTGTACCAGCAAAGGAACTAGACGGGACTTTGATGGGAGCAGCAAAACCGGGGAGTCTCCTTCCGCCAGATCCTGCACATAAATTTAAAGTGATGATAACAACTGAGGAAGCGAAAGTTTGCTGAGGATAGATTTACAGGTACAGAAAGCAAATGATCATTAGAGTGTTTGTAGAGAACATACATAAAAGTTTGTCCCAAATCCTCTGGAGATGTAAAATATTCACATTTTGTGGTTTGAGACAATCCTCCCTCTCCTTTTGTTATAATGATACGTACAGGACATGAAAGCAAGCCTTTCAGGCTAAATCTCAGTGAGGCAGTGCACAACTATGCATCACTGCCACACCCGTTGAAAACACATATTCCTTGAAAATGAGGGGAAGTTAGGAAGGAATTTCTTGTTTTTGCTCCCACGTCAAATATTTATTCCTCACGCTGGAACTAATTTTTCAAACATTTTAAATTCTTATGGACATCCCATATTTTTTTTTTTATTTTTTTTTTTATCAAAATGAATATTGATTTTAGTACTTATTTTGGACTTGCATTATTAGTTTTCAAAACCCTTAGTCATGTTAAAAATAATACACATTCAATATGACCTCTGATTCTGTTGAGGAAAATTAGGGTACCTATACATGATCGTGAACAAATCCGATCTGATCTGAGGGAGCGTGGCATGGCTAATAACCTAAGACTGCTCAAGTTGGGAAAATACATAAAATTACCATTTTTCATCGTCCCTCACACCTATTAGCAGTGATGTTAAAGTGGCAGTACAAGGAAACGAAACCTGACCCCAACATTCAATAATTTTTTAAGTAAGGGGCTTTTGAAGCTAATACTTACACAAAATGCAAAGATAAAGTACACTAATAGATTATTAGATTTCTTTGAGTGTTAGTAGAATATGAGAAAAAGCAAAATCTGAGAATTGCTTGCATGACTATTGGCAATACGCTTCCATCCTTATCAAGACAAGTTAAATCCTTGTATTATTTTCTCTAGATATTATCATTCATTACATTGCATGCTATATCCTGAAATTTGTCGCAAAATTTTCGGCAGGCTTAACAAGACATGGTTGCAGATGGCACGATACTGATCGGATGTTGAAAGTTGACTTCACTTACGCGGATGGCGGAAGAACATTCGTGAACCAGGCGAGGAGTGAGTAGTTTGGACAGGTAGATCGAACAATCTGGCCAGTTGGTTCAGTTTTTGCACTCTAGCGATGGTCCTGGCTTTGGTTAATCTAAAGAAAAATGATATAATAGATAGAAACTTAAGAATCTCTGATAGTGAAGAATTAACAAGGAAGGAGGTAAGACAGAGATCAAAAGATGTAATCTTTCCAACCCCATGAGAATTATCAAAAAATAGCTATTAAGGATATACAGGAAGACCTCGACTTAATGGAACAATCTTCTGGTCCCTCCAAGGACTTCAAGCTGATTTGAAGTAACAGATTCCGTGATTTAAGGGATCAATTTGTCAGCCCCATAAGATCCAGTATATCGAGGTTTTACTGCAGCTCTTTTTTTAGTTAGACCTAGAATGGAGTATGTTGTCATGTGCGCATGGAAACAGAACATTCATTAAAATAATGAAAATTATGTGATTTTGAAGATTCTGGAGATAGATACAGATAATGTAAATTCTCCATAGAGAAAATGGCAAGAAATAAAGTTCAATTATATTTAGGAGTTTGAATATTCCAAACACTGCTTCTCCCCCATAATGGGTGTTCAAGAAACGCTTGACAAATATTTGTTTCATAAAATTTAGTGTCTCCTGTGACAGTAATTTTGCAAGAAATATTTATGACTAAACATACAGGTCACAGAATCAAAAGTATTGCTTCAACATGAAAAAAAAAAAAGAAAAGAAAAAGAAAAAAAATGATTGACGAAACCAATCTGTAGCACTACTTCTGAGAAAAATGAAGATTTTGACTAGGGAAAGTGTAAAAACTAAGACTATGGACTATGGACTATGAACTATAATAGGAAATTGTACCTTTGTTTAGCAGCCATACATCTGACATGATCATCAAAAATAAATTTGGCAGTCAGAGCTCCAGATGTTGAGTGATGCATTGTGACTGATAGACACTGCGGATTTTCTTTATCACCAACAACCTGTATCCAGAATATACACACTTAAAATAGGTATTCACTTTGACAAACTGAGATTATTAATAGGTGGATAAAAGGATTTGATCTGTTTTCAATAAATAAGGTTACGTTGTCCAGAATTTTTGAATTTTCTCGCTCTCTGCTGATTCCTTGATTTTTTGGAGGCAAATCCCTGATTAGAATCAAGGTTGACTGTTTATTGCAGAGTTAAAATTAAATTCATTGTTTTTTTTTTTTTTTTTTTTTTTTTTTTTTTTTTTTCATAATTCGTTTTTTTCCTTTCTTTATAAATTTTATGATGCTATAACAATACAGACCATCAAATTGATATGGTGGTTTTGAAATAGCCAGAGAGGAAATTTTCTGCTCTCAAGACCATAGGAATCCCCTGATTTTCGCTAAATTTATCATTCTCTAAGGAATCTCGATATTTCCCGCAGAGAGCGATGTCATGATTATTAGTCAGAAATCGTCCTACAAAAGATGGAAGAATTTAAAAAAAATGTATTGTTTGAAAAAAGAATAAAAATGACCTCTATGTCCTGTAGAAAAGCTGCCAGTTTGACAATTCCCCAACCTAATCGTGAGTCTGGCTCGATCAGGATTAGATGAGTTGAGTCAATTACGAGGAACCGTTTAGCTTTGTTGCCGTCTTTACCGATGAATATACAATGAATTAAGTCAGCGTTATTAAAATCTAGGGCAGAGTTAACTTGATAACAGTTGCTCCTGTCCGTCAGAGGCAGTTGAAGCTCCATTTCTCCAGTTAGCATTAAACTGAACTCCCGAATCAACAAAAATACCCTGATAGCACGCCTTGCCCTTTCAACCTAAAAAAGGATAAAAAGGAAATGATGAATTAATAATTCGCCAATTTAGGAGGCGTCTCATCACTAGCATTCTAATTGTTAAATTTGTTTAAGTATTTGCTTTTTTCTTAGCATTCTCAGAGCACACTTGACTGACAATTTGAAATAGAGTATACCCGAATATTTTTGATAATTCAAGGGGAAACATAAACATGGGATGAATTGATGAAAATTGGAATTATTGTATTTTATTCAGAAATACGTACTCCTCTTTAGTATATCCTTGGAGCATGATGTTTTTTAGTCAGTGTACTCTCAAGCCTTAGAGAAAATTTGACTACATGCATTTATTTTTTCATTTGATTCATTTAAAATTGATTGATTTTATCTTTGCTGAATAAATATGAAGAAGAATTTTATTACATCTGTTTTACACAAACAAATAAAGCAAAGAGAGTGAACTTTGGAAAATAATATCCCTTACATTAATCCCTTAGAAGGGCCTGTCAAAACTTGCCGAAAGGGGCTCCTCAGGGCCTTTCCGGGCCAGTTCGTGGAGCAATCCTCTGCTCACCCAGTCCGCCCCTGAAGGTACATATCTCTTAGGGTACGATACTCGGTAGACCCCTCTTTAAATTGCATATCCTGAAATGCGCACAGTTTATTAAAGGTATCAGGACACAGCTATCTGTTCTACATTCATAATTACGTAGAATGGGAAAAAATCGATGTACATATGTTCAAGAGACTTACATTTCCACAGGGAAGACGTTTCCTAAATTCTATACCAGTTAAGGGAGTGCAAGTGGTGGAAGGTGAAAGAAGAATTTTTGAATCCATCATCAAAAACTCAACATTTAATGGTTTCTTTTTCATATCAGTGTATTCATCCTCAAATGTGTCCAGGAAAACATCATCATTCTACAAGCAGACGAGAAAAACTTAGAAAATAAGAAACATTGGAGACAATTTTAAGAATTGACTTTTAAATACATTGGAAAGATAATGGAAGTTGAGGATAGATTTGAGAACTTTGAATTTAAAATACATTTTGAAACATACTTAAGAACAAAAAATGAAGGAAGCTTAGTAAAAAATTCTGCCAGAGGTTGCTGATTTGAACTTTAAATCTTCCAATTATTGAGATAATGATGTTAGAATGCTTCTTATTGCATACTGAAAAAAGAAAAGCAGATGTCAACTGTTTGAAAAAACCTCACAGCTTTGAAAACGAGTTGGGACATTTCATGGGTGCAAGGATTCAAGCTTTCGCTAAATGAACTAAATCCTATTTTGCTAAGTATGCTTCATACCTTGAAAAAAGTCTGAGCTAATTGAATAGATTCCTCTTTGGCGTCAATCACAGCTGCAAAATGAGCATCTTGTAGAATTGATCTGCCATTCAGCACCACAAGTCGTTTGAGTAAAGCTATTGTCAGTTCAAGGGTTACTAATCTGATACCGCTTCCTGGAAAAAATTAATGCAGACCATGATTACAAAATTGAAGTTATTTGATAGAAAAGAAAGAAACAGTCCCACACACACATTTGGTCAAGAAACATGACAAGCACACAATCATCTTTTTAAAAAAAGCGTTTCGACCTGAGCCTCCGAGCAAAATGCATCGGCATTTGTGAGAAAATGCTCTATTTTTCTCAAACAAAATCAGCATTATACAGAGGGAAATGACAGCTTCACGATGAGCTACAACTCAAGGCCAGTTAAAAGTAAAAAAACAATTATTCCGCATGTTTACAATGCAAATTATTACAGAAAAAATATCTGTCTCAAAAGATTCTATTTTAGCCTGAGGCATTTCCTTTGACAAAGCTAACAGTCTGATGCAGCAATAATATTTTCCTATGTAATTGAGCTAGGGGTTCCGGTTAAGGGGTAGAAACAAGGGGAAAATACTTACTTGGTTGACAACTTAAAGACATGATTTCAATTAGTTTTTCTACAAGCCGAGTATTATATTTTGGTTTTTCACTGGGTCCTGCAATAAGAGTACCTGCTAGTAAGTCTTGATTGATACCTACAAATACAGATAAAATAATTAGCTGAAGTAAAAAGCCTTTACAAATTTACCGACTGACATGAATATAAACATGAAAATTTTGCAAATTTTGAGGAAAAATGGACAAGTTAAATTTTTCAGTTTTGACCCTTACCAATCTGCATAGTTCATTAAAAAAATTTGTTTTTTTCTTCAAATTTTCTGATAAAATTATAAGCTACAGTAATACTTGATCATTCACCCTTAACTTATGCTTATTTGATTACCCTGTATTATTAGTATCCAGCGCAGGTTTTGCCAAAATGCATAAGATAATCGAGGTGATACTGTAAATCTTTTAAAATGAAGTTTGGAAATCCAACAAATACACTTATATCAGTGAACAGTTAGGCTTGGAGAAAACTCCTTCCAAGGTTATGTATTTCAACCGGATTTTGTTTTATTTATAAGCTAACAATCATATTTTCTAACGCATTTCATGCTATACTATTAACATAATAAACTTTAAACACAGAAATTAGTTTTAAGATACCATTTTTACCTTTGTTACAAGATATTGAGTGCAAAAGACACAAAGCAAAGAGCGCTTTATGGTCGTTTTCTTCACAGCTGAGTGCTTTGATGATAGTTTCAAAAAAGAAGCCTGTCTGAAGCTCTTGGGCAAGAATTTGCTCCTTTTCTTCATCCGTGATGTTAGAAACGTTGGATTCTGTTGTCGAGACTATGCTTGTACTTGGAGTCGTTGCACTATCTAACGATTCTTCTAGTGTTTTGGGTGGAGGCACAAAACTTGGTATGATAAGCTGCGAAATGTGCGAAAGTGATTAAAAAAATGCTTAGTAGGAGGATTGCACGATATAAAAAAGGGATATACAGTGTTCCTCTGAAAGTGGGAAATCATACATATTAATTATGCTGGTTATTCACCTATTTTCAATATCCGATGGTCCATAGGCTGCATCATGATTTGCAATACATCTGGCCCTTTTTTTGCAATTTGCCACTAAATAATTCTTTTGGCCTTATATCTTATGGTGATAAATTTATGTTCCAAGGTATGAATCATTTTATGACTTAAAAACCTACTTTACATTTCCAAAATACAGCAACTGAAGATTAAACTTAAAATCAAAGTTTGTTTCGGTAGTAATTTAGAAAGTTACGGAATGTGATGCAAGGAGAGATGTAGGTGAGTGACAAAGTAACAAAATGCATTCACAAAATCAAAAGGACTTTTAAAATTTTAGGACACTCCTTCTAAACTTTGAGCACCTATGATGGAGTTATTTTGTAATTTTTGAGATTTCATTTTTTTCTTTTATCTCTTGCACAGCATTTCTATTGGCTGATAAATTAGATAAATTTAAGAACGTACCTTGTTGGAGACAGGCGAATCTTCGTCGTGTTCAAAAATATCTAGGCTTCCTTGGAGAATGATCTCTGTCAGGGTTCGAACTAAAGGATACATACTGATGATGAGGAAGACTTGTGACAAGAGGAAAAGTGAGACAATTGTACTCATGCGCGGTTTACTGGTTTGTGCAGGTTTGAGCTGATCATCAGGTATTAACGAGAAGATGTAAAGAGGAGTGAGGAGTTTGTTAAGAAGGTGATCATTGAGCACCTCATTTAGATCTGATATATCTAGAGTCAGGATGTCGTTGAGGTAGTGCAGATGGTCCAGGTGCTCTGCAACCAGGTCTGCAAGGCAGTGGATTTGGTTTTGATTGCTGGAAAAAAGAAGAGTCCCCTATTGAAAAGTACGCCATAACATGAATAAATTAAGACAATTTGATATACCTACTATTTTAGCTGTCTTTTTTATCATGTTGTACTCATTAAAATTTCAATTTGAGTCAGTACTCAACTATAGATTGCAAAACTTTAGAAAGCTAGGTTTATCAGATCAGATTTACTTTCCTCATTTCCATTCTTAGTTGTATTTTTTACTTGACCAAATTCTGAGATCGATACATACTTGCTCATGATTTACTATATGATATACGATGTAATATATTTTCGGATATATGAGAGCTAGACATAGAATACTATAAGATATAGAATCTTAAAAACATACTTAGCATCATTGGAGACACAAGCATCTAACTCTAGCACATGACTGCCGATAAACCAGACGAGGTTGGAGAAATATGGAGCAGCTGTTTTGTTCCGGATGAAAGATAACATCGACTTGTCTCCTACTTTATATACATTGAGCGTTAATGTCCTCACAGCAATTCGAACCATTGACTCAGGATGGTTAAAAAATTTAATTGCTTCCGTGTACAGCGGAAAATCATTCGTGTGCTGAAATCACAAAAGCATGCAAAACATTGGTGATATTCTTCCTGGTATGAGGCGAATTCTTTACAATATAGTATACATTTGTACATTAATATTTCTACATAATAAAGAGAATATTTCCATGTTATGAAGTATATTTGTGACAAAAAGTGGAGGCTCACGGATGTAGTCGGTGAGCAGCTCTGTCTACTGTCTAGGGGTTGATAGGCTTTGGCGACCTCAGGTTGTATGAACCAGCCAATGTATCTGAAATATAATCCTTAACGAAGACCTAAAGCCAGTCACTTACTCCGCACTGAGCTTACTAGCTGATACATTTCGTGGCACAGGCTGTAGCTCTCTCTACTTAATTTTCTCTCAGAGGCTATTTTGGTCGGTTATTTCCTAACTCTACCAAAAGAATGCCCAAACCAAAAGCCCCTAAATTTAGAAAACTACAAAGAACCAACCAGTTCTTTATTAATGGTGAAATTCCATAGATGGGTTAAATTGGGTACTGACCAGGCTCTACCGACTCTTTTCAATCGGGCCAAATTTAAAAAAAAGGAATCAAGTCACACTTCGGGGAAAAATGAGTTACAAGTGATTTTAAGCAGAACTAGCTGCATACTTCTTCAAGTTAAAAATTCTGGGTCAAGATAAAATATTATGAATGTGAAAATAAGCATTTAATATTGAGTTTTACAGAAAAATAAAATTTCAGACCAGTTTTTCTCCGTCTGAACTGGAGTGACTTGGTAGCTTTCTGTTAAACTTTGTCCACTTTAAAAGTAGCCTAAAATATTTGAAAGATGACAAGACCTCCTATTTTTTGTACTGAGGTAACGGACAGAGACGTCTACGCAGACATAATGTCTACTAAAATTGAGTGGCAAAAAATCGGTGATATTTTTAGGCTTCCTGCACCAGTAGCCACCCTAATATTGGGCCACTTTGTGACTTGTATTGTTGAGAAACAAAAAAACAGTATTATGAGCAGTCACAGTTTTGCCTTGCTGTAAAAGGGTGAGTTTAATCGATGATATTTTCTCTTGGGTAGCTACACTAAAAAATTGTATATTTTATCACTACAAAAAGAAAAAGAAAAAGAAAACCTGTTCCTCATTACCTACTGGGTGCTGAGAAATATTCATTTATTTTACTTGTTCTTTCATCACTTGTTTTGTAAAACCATTTAAAGAGATGAGCTTACCACATTATAGAAGAAATTCACAGTATGTACATTCAGTTTTAAAGATAAAGTCTTCAGGAATGATATGTAATACGCCATGACTTCTTCGTCCGAGAAATCAAATTTATGAACAATTATGGAATTCACATGGTTGTTACTGAGCAAGTAATCTGAAAATAAGATAAACATTGATTTAGCCTCAACCTGGTCTGGCATCTCCTGTTTGACACAGGATATGCGATTTCAATATAAGTTGAATTCGAAACACATGAGTTGTTTAAATACCTAGCTTACTCGTAAGATAAAGTCAATTAAAATGCAACAAGGATTAGCCTGATAAAAATGAGATTACCATTGAATTAAAGATTTATATTTCCACAGAAGACAGGGAACTGATGATTAATAAAGTGATGCGCAGGCTGCTAACTGAAAAGTAATTTAAAAATTCCCCAAAAAGTACCATAATCTGTGGGAGTGAGGTTTGACAGCTTAAATTAAGATCTTAGAAAATCTTGAAGAAATCAAGAAATGGACATTCCATGGAGATCCACTGATGTTATGAGAAGAGAGCATCTTCATAATGAATAAGTTCATGCAATAACGGGGATTGGAAATGATACAGTGTGTGATATCATGACCAAGCTACCAAGCAATTAGTTTAGACAAGTGCTACAGAGGGATGGTTGCACAAACAAATGCTGACTTGGGTATCTTCCAGAAGAGGGCAGCATGGATGTCATGTACAATGTTTGAGGAAGAAATTAATGACGTGGCGTGAATGATCGATTATCGATATCTTGCCACTTGAAGCTATGGTGAAGAATCGATTACTAAGGTGTTCAGTGCGAACAGCCTGCTAATCTATCTTTTTTTGTAGGTTTGAGCCGCATATCAATCGATATATCGCAAAGCACCCCACGCCACTGGAAGAAATAGATGGTGTCATTTGCCTGATGATCTGTTGGAAGATAAGTTTCGGCGGTGATAGGAGGTTGCAAAGGGCCTGACTTGTTCACGATAATAGTGAGATTTTCTGTCCACTTGTAAAATTTAACTTTCATCTAATTAAAAAAAAAAAAAAAAAAAAAAAAAAAAAAAAAAAAAAAAAAAAGGAAAAAATCTGATTACTTACAAAGAGAAGTTTCATTACGAATATTTTCAAACAAAATATTTAAAGTCTGCAAAAGCTGTACATTCACGTAGCTGCCACACTTCTGTTTCAGGATTTCCAGAAAGAAAGATAGCATATTTCTTTCAAGAAAAAAACTGTAGACAAAACAAAAGCAAATAATTAATAAGGGAAAACTTGTAAACCTTGAATAAGCATACTAGATCCAACTTATAATACATTCCTACGATGCTATGCCCACTTTTTTTCAAACTAGAATGAAAATAGTGTATGTCTCTCAAAAAATACACTAATAATAAAAGTATGGGAAGTTTCCTCCCAACCACTGAGAATGTAGTCTTGGAAAGGATTTTGAAAATTATTTGTTATCAGGATCTGATAAATGCGTTTCGATGCTTGATACGAAATGAAAAAAAGCATATTATCTAAGAAAATTCTGCTTAAATTTTGATTTTTCCTTCTGCAAGTAGTTACAAAAATGGAAGCTGCGATTCTTCTAGCAATTTCTCTACAAAAAATACAAATGCTCTTGCAATGGCACGTTTTTTTTTTTTTTTTTTTTTTAATACATTTATTGGGCCCATGAAATATTGATGGTGAGACTCCCAAACCACATAACTCCTTTGTCGTATTTTTAAGTCTTGGCTCTTATTTTACTTATTTTTTAAAAGGAGTTCAACATCATTCCTTGAAGTTTTTACAGCATTTTCTTTGCACAAAGAAGAAATTTCCATTTAAAAAATGAAGTATGTCAGGAAGTCTGAGATGTTGCAACAGAGATACGCAGTTTGGGAGTTTTACCATCAGTATAGCATGAAACTAGCATGACCACTTTCTCATCAGTCTTTTGAAAGATTTTAAAATGGTTTGTATAAGTTTTTTTTTTTTTTTTTTTTTTTTTTTTTATTGGTATTTTAACAACAATCTACAATATATGTATTCAGTTGACTTTGGATAGGACGCCTCAGTATAAGTAAATACAAATTTTCATTGAACCTCAAAATTAGAAAAATATAAACGTTTTCCGATGTTCAACACTTTAGAATGAGATATGTATTAGGATGGGAAATTCATACAAAAATTACACATATTATATAGATGGACATAATGAAAGTTAAAATTGTGAATCTGCTGGAGTGAAAGTATACAACTTTTATAAATATAACTGAAGATAAAAGGGCACACACACCCTGCGTATTGCTTTGATAATAAAATTGATCATGGTGATTCATCATCCATTAACATTCATCTGACTGCATGCGTTCGGCATCCCATTACAGAGAGTCTGATCACAAACAAGGCACTTTTTCTCACTATTGCCTGCTGACTTGGCTTGCTCTCTACATTGCAGGGCATCTTCAATGTCCATGCAAGTCCGAATAATATGCCACCTCGAATTTTTGCGATTGCATGATATAACACAGGATTTCCTAAAGCAAGTGCGTAAAGCAGCATTGTTCGTTGAGTTAAATTTGTAGCATCGAGTTGTGGAATCGCCCCTGCATTCGTAGCAAGGAAGAGCAACTAGAATATAGCCAACCCATAATGTAAAACCTAACATCACCAGGATACAGAAAAATTTAGCAAGCGCATCCCCAAACTCACAGTCTATACACATTTTAAAAATCACATGTCAAATTTTGATACTTTCCAAATTTTGAGGTTACAAGAGGAGTTTATTGGTTATACAATTACTTAGAGTTTCTATGGAAACCTGTAAGACATTGAGGATAATACTTCCTGATAAGAATGAAAATTTGAGATTATTTTCAAGAATGTCCAAGACATGACATGACAGGACTTAAACTTGGCTAATAAAGGTCTTTTTGATCAACACAAAAATTTGTTGCCTGAAAGTATAATAAGGAAGTCTTTGACAGAAGAAAAGTTTCCAGAAAGCAACAGGTTATGCTGGAAAGGAATTGATTAGCAGCAGGCTTTCATTTTTTTGTTCTCTTTTTTATCATCAGTACTGTGTTATAATTTACTGACCACCATTCCTAGAGAATGGACTCCAAGGTTTTCACAGGTAACGTATTTGAATGAACTTACTCAAAAACACTGCTGTCATTCTGGTCGCCCCAGATTAAAATTTCAGTTATTGACCGAAGAACTTCCACCAGTAGACCTCGATTGTTATCTGTGACAGTTTTATTTTTCAAGAGAACATTGTACAGATGTCTGAAAAAGCATTAAACAGTCAAAAGTCAATAATGATTGTAACAAATTATTAAAAGCTTCTCTAAGTTTCTGACTAGGGAAGGAACTAAGGAGGCGCTGAAACGCGGATTTCTTAAAAAAGATTGTAACTGTTTTCAGACGTTTTATCAAGAGAATTTAAAAAGGAGCCCACATTCCTTTTCCTGGCGACAGCACTGAAAAAACAATAAAAAAATCTCTACTATCCTGTCACCTTTGAAATGTAGAGACTAGTGAGGTTTGTACTTTGCATGACTATCCCTGGATAGGAGTAGTAGTAGTAGTAGTAGTTTATTATTCAAAAAATACATAAATACAGGAAACAGAAGATAATCACTGGTGGCCAGCCTTAAGAATACTTTAAGATATAACAAGGAGTCTCTGTTGCAATATTTTCTCAGATCATGACACTACATGTCATCTCCAGTACGCCAAAATTTTCACAGTTAAGACTATAATATTGTAAAAAAGTCCATACTAGTTGCTGAATGACAGAAATATTTGTCCTTGGGACTAAATCTTATACCATGAAAGGCTATAAGGGGAAAAAATCAGCGACAGCGATAGAGATGGTTTCGTCACTTGAAACAAGAAATATTCTCACTGAAAAAAGAAGGAAATTTCTCTGGAATGCACTCTAAGCTTTGTTTGTTTATTTACTTAATGCAAAAGAACTCCATAAACTCCTAATTTTTGAACAGTTACATCTCTCTTAAGTTTCACATCGCAATAATATCAATCAGAATTGAGCGTTCAAAATAACTATGGACACAAACCATTATGCTCCATTGGGGAGTGACTTACCCCTGCAAGAATCAGAACACCTAATTAGATGAAGGCTGTCTTGTAAGAAAGGCAAGACTCAAATACGGAGGTTAAATATGTATGCGCTGACCTTTCACTAATGAAAATGAAAGACTCAGCTACCTCTAGTAATAATCGGCTTTGGGATAGAAAGAACCAAACAATGACAAAAGCATGCATAAAAGAAAGGTGTGCTGATGACTAAGACTGGTCTTAATGAATGAGACAAAGTAAACTTTGAACTCTTTGAAAGAAAAGTAAGAAGTCTGACTGTCAAAAAACTATCAGTCAAATGTTGAGATTGCCACCTAGTATCTACCAATGCCATTTGCGATATCATCATTGAGACCCACAGTACCACTAATGTACTCGCCAATCCGTGAAATCGTTAACTAGTTGACTTCACTTTCGGGAATAATGCTTAGAATCAACAGAAGTTGACTTACTTTAGATTCTCCAACGAATGAGGGTTCTTGGGTTTCCCAAACCCACCAAACAAACGATACATTGTGAGGGGACTTTGAATTGAAAATAAATTCTAAGAACACAACACAATAATATTGAGCACAGGACAAGACATTTTGCGGGAGAGTTTTTTTACGTTCATGGAAGTTTAAACTTAAATAACAATCTGTGATAACAGATAACAACAGGGGAGAAAAACAATAAAGTGAGGTTAATGAGACTGTTTATTGATGCGAGTCGTTGCGCCAACGTTTAGTCATCTTCTTCGAACACGAAAAGCACGAAATACGAAATCTCCCGCCCAATTACGAAATTTAACGCGCGAAAAAAGAGCGCAACTTATCATTTGACCGTTTTGACTCTTAACTCCGATTACGCGGTTATCGTGACTTCTGAGCTAAGAAGTAGGCGTTTGGGAACAGCTATGATTTTATAGAGATCTTAATTCAGTCAAATGGAAGTTGAACTGACTGGGGGAAATAAAATATTTGGGTAATTTTCGACATGCGGCGGCAAAACTGTACCATTTCCAAAGCTTTTCCTTGCTCTAAATCTCGATATTTCCATTACATTAGCTTGTAGAGAGAGATCAATTCATAAATTAGCAAAAATGGAAAATATTAATAATAATAGAACATTTTTTTTTGAAAAAAAAATACCTACAAACCTGAATTCAAATTGTTACATTTTATTTCAATGTGTACGGTAAAAAAGAAAAGAAGTAGAAGAAGGATGAAATTTTCATAAAATAAATAGATTCATAATTTATTCCCCCCCCCCCCCCCCNTTGTTTATTTCCTGGGACATTTTTGTAGAGTCACTTCCAATAGATGACTTAAAAGACCAAGAAGAAAATAGGAAAAAATTACAGACTTCATATTTACCAACCAAGTACGATATACTAGTGACAATAAAATGTAACTTCATTGTTGTGGTGTTCTTTTCTTGGCTGGACAGGGTGTTGGCTGACTATTACATAGCACCGAATCACAAACAGCACATTGAGCCCTTCCTAAAGGCCTGTCATTCTTTTTGCTTTTCTCTGCCTCACTTCTGCAATAAAATGTATCATCAAGGCTCATGCATGTTCGGGTGATAAACCACTTTGTATCCTGTTTGGAACATTCTGTGATGCAGGATTTTCTGAAACACGTGCGCACGGCTGCACTGTATGTTGTGTTGAATTTCCAGCAAGCACTTGTCTCAACCTCTCCTCTACACTCGTAACAAGGAAGAGCGACAAGGATGTAACCCACCCATAATGTGAAACATATCATGAACACAAGACAGAATAATTTTCCAATTATATCACCTATATTTATGCACATATTTTGAAACTCACAGGATGAAATTTAGAATATTTTCAATTTTGAGGTTAAATAGAGTTGTTTTTGTAGTTGCTGCTGTTGCTGTGTTCATAAGGTTAACCGTGAACAACTCTCCAGTGTTTCTATGGAAACTTTCGACAGAAAAAGGACCTTTCATGTAAATTCAATTAAATAAGTAATATTGAAACTGGTGCTCACTCCTGAGCATTAGGAAATGAAATTATGTTGCTAACACCCTGATATTTAGATGGCTTGTCTAGCGGCTACACATAGTGCAGCTTATACTTAGATAATAAAAAGATGAGGATGTAAGTGTAAGAAAAAATATTTTATACCCAAATATAGAGGTAAGGATGTCTGGTGGATTTGGTAAAACTTGAGCTAGTCTGAAGAAGAATGATGTTCATTACGTTTGTAGATATACCTTCAGATGCCTCTGGGTAGTGTTCGATCCATAGATGTTTTCTTCATTCTGGCGAAAAAAAAAACCAAGTTACAAACATTCCATCAATTTTATGACAAATAAGTTGGCATTTTACCATTAAGTACTTGATTCAGCAGGTGACATATGAAGTGGATTCATGCAATGGAGCTTAACTCCCTAAAATTAGTAGGTCTCCAGCAAACTTTACACAAAAAAAGCATGAGCTTACATTTGAAAAAGTCGTAAATAGTCAGTCAATTGTTCGGGGTGGAACAGGGCTCACAACTTGGAGCTTAAAATTTTCACAACTGAATTAAGAATACCTGAAAAGCAAGTATTAGAGCAGAAAGGAATTCATGTGCAAGTAGTTGCCGTTTTAGTATTTTATACATTTTTCTAGAAGAAATACCTAATTTGAGGTGCATCCTAGGTGGAATGCATTTTCTCTTCAATTTCAGACTGGAAGTATAGAAAAGAAAAACTGCGAAAGATGAATTCATAGAGGCCTAAAAAAATTCATATTTTACACCCCAAAAGTATGAACTTCAAACCTTTTACTTTTTACCAAAGTTTTACTTGATCTACAGGGTCCAACAAAAATTACAGTCCAATAAGGTAAATATAATTTATTAGGTCATAGAATAGATAGGTAGTAAATAATCTTTTTGGAAACTTGAAAATACCCATTCTGACAGGGTTTTACTAAAATTAAAAAACAGAATATTTGAACAGACCATGCATTAAATTTTAACAAATCTCAGAAGTTGAGGATTTTTTTTTTTTTTTCCAGATGAAGTATCAAAAATTCAAATTTTAGGAATGTTCCCAAAGCTTTTAACCGGATCTGTACCAATTTTTTTTTTAATACAGCTCAAATTAAGAGAATCATAGTATTATCAAAAGAATCAAAATTTCAATTACTTTGATATGCAAATTATTAGATAAATTTAACACTTTTTGGAAAAACCGATTAATATTTTGATACAACCACTGACAAAATTCTAAGTACCATTTCATTGCAAGAAAAAATAATGGAATAGAAAGCGAATTTCCGCAAGTACATACCCCACTATATATATATACCCATTGATTAGTGGGTTGTTACAGTGTGTTAGTTCACAATGTCACAATGAAATATAAGGTAAAATACAATACATTGAAGGATCTTCTTAAAACTTACAATTTTATCACACATTGGAGCATGAAGTATTTTTCTTTTGAGTAAATTTTGGAAATTCTTGTCCTGAAAAAAAAAAAAAATGGTGAATATTAGGAACAAAAAATTAAGGTGCTTTCTTTGAAGCTCAAGTTGTACGTTAATTCTAACCAGCACATGGTGACCTGGCCCCTTACTCTAATTAGTTCATAAGACTTAGTGGAATTAGTCAGGCTCTCACGTA